ATATATTTTTTATTTTCATATTTTTCTTTTTCTATTTAAATTTTTATTTCTTCTCGTGCTCTTTTATTATATTTATCTCTCAGCACGTTGAAATAAATTCTTCTGCTTAATTTTTATACTCTTAATTCTTACAGTTATTTTTCAGAAAATTCAAAAGTCTATACCGGTGTATCTAAAATAAATGAATTTAATATCTTTCGTAATTTTTCGGCAATTTGCTTCACTTTACTCTACGAGCGATCGGTCCAGCTGACGTCGGTGGATGTTGGCCGATGTTCTAACAGCACTTCTATAGTCAAAGATCGCAGGTATGCGCGATGAAGAGAAGACGATGGAGAGAAAAAGAGACGAAGGGAAGTTCTCGAAACACGCCGAAGCGCGAGAAGAAGTGCGAGCAGAAGAGACCGAATCTAAGATTATTTCGGGATCGGCGGAGATAAACCGGGCCAACGTCGAGATGGAACAGCGGACACGAACGAAACGAGCCTCGCCTCACCGACGTGAGCCTTGAAGCTTGAGTCATCGTCGTCCTCCCGTCATCGTCATCGTCCAGACAATTACGAATTTCGCATATTATACAAGCACGTAACAACAAGCGTGTCCAAATTTTTGGATAGCCGCATTCTTTTCTTTATAGTGTATCGCCGATCTGAATCATACCGTATTTACTATGTGCATCGAATTATAATTATAATGCCTAAAGAACAAATATTTCTAAAATCTTTTTCAATGCAAACTTCTTACACAGTATAAAAATATCTGAATACATATAAGTATATGAGACAATTTCTTCCTCTAACTTTATATTAATTTAGTTAAAATTTATACTTTTATATATGTTTAATTATTATTTTATTTCTGTAGACTTCGTGAAAATTTAAATGCACCAAAAGGGAGCGATAAAATTATTGTAGACAAACAGTTAAATATTAAATTTAATTCAAATAATTCGTCATTAATCTGAGACGTCTCGGTGCTTTATTTATTGCATCGTTTAATTTTGGATCGTTCTCAATTACGGACAGAAGATATTAAAAGCTTCTGTAACGTATAAATACTCGACAAAATAAATCTAAAGCAATAAAAGCTAGAAACGGGTATTCTTTTTTTTGTACATGACGTATAGAAAAATTTTTTAATTTAATACATATAAATTATTTTAAAATAAATTAAAATATATAATATAAGTTTTGAAGTTCTACAACGTTTTCTGAATTTCTTAAATGCAGCAATTAAGAAATTATATAAGAGAGAGTACCACATATAAATATATACAATAAACCTAATATTATAATTCTTCCTGTATAATAAATATATAATTTTTATTTTCTTATTTTTCTTGTGTGTATATCTTGTAATTATATAAATATATTTATATGTATATGTATATTTTCTTATTGCGTTTTTATTTGAATTCTTCAAGTAATCTCGTCATACGTTAACTGAAATTTCGATTCAAGAATTCATAATGAGAGCACAGAGTAACTTACTTCAAAAGAACTTCTTATAATCGCAAATAACGATTTGGCTGCAGTACAAGAGGTACAATGGTCGGGATTAGTATTGCATGTTAAGTGCATTACGTGTGCTCGACCGGCTTGCATTACACATGTATACACGACCCACTTGACGACAAGTATTTTTATGACCGCTCAAGTATTTTTATTATTACTTTCCGCGATTGTCGAATTTGAAATCTAAATCGAAACGAACGAAATCTCGCGATTCGGATTCAAACGATGAAATTCTCTTTCTACGCTGGTCAGTCGCGAGTCCGTATGCACGAGCTGGTTTATTACGCGTTTCGTATATTTCCGCTATATTTGCATTTGATGATCTTAGCTCATGTGCGAGCGAATGCCTCGCTCACCAATAAAGGAGAGCGTCCGAGAGTTTACGATGCAGCTCGATTCAATAAACGTGAAACGAAACGACTTGGGGAAAATATTAGAAATTGTTGTAGCGCGCCGCGTGTCTCGTTAAACGATTCGCACTTACTTTGAGAACGTATAAAAGTAAAGCAAGATTCAAAATTCAAACCACGTGATCGCGTCTTTACGAATTACAATTTTTTCCCAATTTCGAAATATCCTATCCAAAAGAATCATGAAAATATCAACTCAAGATTATGAACTTAAAAAGCTATATAGAATTTATATAACTAAAAAACTGTACATATATTTTTTAAACTAATATAGATATTTTCAAAGGGGACATACACTCAAAAGGCAGTCTTTGTCGTAGGATTTTTATAATTGAAAAATTTTTTTTAATTTATTACAAACATTAGATTTATCTGTATATTTTAGGAGTTTTTTCCAGATAAACTATATATGTATATTAGGTACCATAAAACGCAACAGCATCTGACATCAGCAGCGATATCTACATTTTTTAAATATTTTCCAATAAAAATTTTACTTTATATAACTAAATATACATATATATAATAGACTGATAGAAACCTTATTTTAATAATCCTAATATTTTCTGAAAAAAAATTCATAAATATAGAGCTATTTTTTACGCCTCTGGGTGTATGTCCTCCCTTAATAGAAAAATTATATATACAATATATTTTAAATAATAAATAGAAAAATTAAATATGTATAAACAAATATAATTTTTTCCATTAAATATCTATATTTAAAGAAATCTCGGAATTTATAATTAAATATTAAATTTCTCCCTACCTAAAAATATACCTGAATTGATCTTAATATTCACTGGAATAAAAATTCTGTCAAGCTTCTTAAGCTTTGCGATATTTCTACGAGAAAGCTCGCACAACGACCTATAAAAGCTACTATGAAAAACCAAGAATACTATCGCTGAACCATCCGATAATCGTGCCAAGCGCATGGCTCTCGGCCCTCGGCCCAAAGCTTCGCTCAGGAATGCGTGCTATCGCTATCGCGGAGCGTGTAATATAAAATCTGTGCTTCCCCCGACAATCGTTATTCATTCGAAACGCGACACGGCGATCCGCGACGAGTCATCATCTCCCCGGAGACGACGACGAATAGGACGTACTCGGGTATACCGCTGGTATTCCGTCTCGATGCCAAGTTTCCGCGGCTGTTGTTCTGTACCCTGGTGGCTATCTCGCGCCAGGAACGATCGCATCGGCGTCGAGGCGACCGACGCGACGACGGCACCGGATGAGGGATGGTCGCGCGGTGATCGAAAAGCAAGGCCGTCCGTGACGCGAAACGGAATTTTCAGAAGAGGAATTTCGCGGTCGCTGATACATTCGAAAAAGCGAGGACATTCAATGGTTATTCGAGCGAAGAAAAATTATGCGAAAAGAGCAGAACGTTGTCTCGCGAACGCGAATATTTACAGCTCAAGCGAAATGGCACAACGCGGAAAAAAAATAAATCACTATAGTTATATTTTAGCTGTCTCTATATTACAATCTGAAATTTAGTTTTCATGTTTAAGTTATTGTGTTTGTCAATTTTAGCTATGATAGCTAATATTTTTTAGCTATAGAATTCTTCGTGTGTTAAACTATAGATAAAAGTATTAGTTATCATACAGGTACCTAAATTTTAGGTACGGTAATTAATATTTTTAGCTATAGTTTTAAGGGAGAATTCTATAAAATATTAACTATCATAGCTAAAATTTAGGCATGATAATTAAATTTCATATGTGTAATACAGAGACAGCTAAAATTTAGCTATAATAGTTAATTTTTGTTTTCCGTAAAATATACTGAGATCGTTAGTGCTACGAAATGAGAATCAATTTTAATTATACAAAGAAATAATTTGCAGATTTCGGAAATTAAAATATAGTAAAATTATGTTGATAATTAATAATAATAAAATTAATTAATCTTTTTGCTGTTGGTTTGATAAATAATAGGAAGATTGCGAGATACGGTGCTTATTTTTTCTATACAAATAAATCTATAAAATTTTCTGTAAAAAATCGAAAGAAAAATCATATGCAATCGAAGACATTCGCAGCATCAAGTGCAAGTTCACCGGAACCGCGTGTGCATTAATCCCTTTGTTTGCACTCTTCTCGCTTTTTTAGAACACACCTGACCGGAAATAAAGTAGAGGGAAATTCGCGACCACCAATTGATATTATTAATTGACTGTCCACAAAACGTCGAAACGTCAACGCTTTTCCTTCTTCGAGAGTTCGAGAGACGAAAATCTTTTGGCATCCGTCATCCACGTCCCGCCACGATAATAATTACAAGTTATACGATGTTGTGTAATTTGCGTGTATATTCGCTAATTCAGCCGACGCCGGGATCTAATTCGAGCGAAGATATTTGGACGAGATCCTCTCGAAACTGCAATAATTAATCCTGTCGGGAGATGACGGCTCAATGAATGCGGCTATGCGGGTGCATTTTGTTGGCATCCAAATGACGCAGAGACGAGATAAGTCATGCGATTAAATTACATTGTATTACGTTACATACGAATAAAATTGTTATCGTGTCCGGGACTATCGATCTGACGGAAAAATATGACACGTTAACTTTTGTCAAATTTTTCAAACAAATTAAGAAATCAATTTTTTGTACAATTGATTGAAGTTTGGACTAAAAATTCAAATTAAAAAAAAGAGATGTCTAATCAATATTTTCGAATGAATAATTATTTCTCTCAAACATCTCATAAATTTCCCTCAATTAAAAATTTTTCCCTAAATTCTACATCTCTATTTTCGTCAACGAGTCTCGAGCTGTAAAAAATGTTCCCCAATAACTCAACATCCGAAATCAACAGATATCATTTTACAAATTATTTTCATTTATTTCGAGAATTCTATTTTCAATCATCGAGTCTTATGCACGATTATATACACTTTTATTGTGCCAGGATTTCAATCTTTCTTTCAAGTGATACCATAATAACGCGTAGCAGGACAAATTTCGAGAGTCGAAGCTTTGAAACTCGAAAAAAGAAGAAAAGGAGAGAAGAAGAAGAAGAAGATGAAGAAGAATTACATAATGAGTTCGTTCGGCCGGGTTCTTCATATTCCAGATCCCACATAACACCCTCATTCGACTCGCTTCGTCGTCGCGTTTCTTGGTCCCACCTTCTTCATCGTCGTCGTGCACCATGCTACCTTAGTTCTCCATCGTCACCCTCCTTCGCCCTCTTCGCCCCCTCGTCACCACAATTTGCCTCTGAGGCTGACAGCAGCTATTTTCGTTTCCCAGCGACAATATAGCAGTCACCGTTTAGGCCGCTCTTACTAAGCCGAGCTTTGGCTCACCTCTCTTTTTCTAGACCTAGCGATTTTTTTATTTCTTACTTATGAGAGATCTCTGCAGAAATTATCTATTTTTTCCTACTGTCTCTTTTCAATCAATCACTCTATTAATATATCTATTAATTAATGATATATGTATAAAACGCTGAAGCAACTCGACGACATATTTAGTTGTGCACGCATGTGTCTCGTAAAATGTGAGTACAATCTCCGAAACGAGTTCAGGGCGCCATAAATAATTTTATTTATTTATGTATTAATTATAACTTATAACGAGAGAACAAAATTTAAATGTTTGTACACTGAAAAAAATTTATTGAATTCGAATAAATATTTTTTCAATACTGCTTTATAAATTATTTATTTGAAACTAATAATAATTTGATTGATTTGATTTGAAAAATATTTATTTGACGTAAGAAAATCCTTTCCAAAACAGATGCATATTTATTTGTTTCAAATAATGATTTATAAGGCAGTATTGAAATAAGCATTTATTAATTTAATAATTTTTTTCTTCAGTGTATTTTATCTCTCTTGTACTGTTACTCATAAATTTTACAGGCGGATTTTGAATAATTCTCGTTATAAAAATTATATTGAAATGTAGAACGGGAAAATATATATTTAGGACAAAACGTGTCAAATTTGTTTTTATTTCAAAATTCCACTTACCTTTTCTGTTCTCGAAGATCACCGCCGGTCTCGCGATGTGAGCGTCGCCTTATTCGTGTATTTCTTCGTTCCCGCGGTGCGTATTTGCGTATCTACGCAACGCATTCGCCTCACACGAGCGGATGACGTCAAATACAGTCATCGTCGAGAGATGCAATTTCCTCCTCGACCCGCTGTTTCCTTCGCCCTCTCGCAAAATGCGTCTTCCTTTCATCCTGTCTTCCTTCCTCACCCTGCAAGGGGAAGCAGGTGAATCTCATGACCTTCCTGCCATCCTCGTCGTCATCAATACGCGCTGACGTATTTTTCGCATATGTGGGCGTTGAAGACCGGATGCACTCGTCAGCGATGCACTTTGGCGCGTAGCATCTTCCTCTGCACTCGTATAATTCTGTCATACGTAAATCAAGTATTAGATACGACATTTTGATATCGATAAGATATAGTTGCAATAACTTAAAGAAATAATATTGCGCAATTTTCATCAATTTTCTCTTATATTTGTTTGGAAATATTATTTTTTAAAATCTTATATATTAAAAAAAAATTTATTGATTTCGAATAAATATTTATTTCAATACTTCCTTATAAATCTCATTAATTGTAAACTAATAATATTGATTTAACGTAAAAATATATTTATTTGATATAAGAAAATCCTTTTCAAAACAGATAAATATATATATTTACATGTTTCAAATAAATGATTTATATATAAGGCAGAGAGTATATAAATATTTATTAATTTAATAATTTTTTCTAGTGTAAAACATACACTAAATTGCACATTTTTTTGTTAATCATTAATTATATCCCCCGCTTAATATAACTTTTTTATATCTCACAATACCTAAATAAAACGATTCCATTTGAAACAATAATAAAAAAATGTAGTAGTATGCAATTGTGTATGTGTGCAGAGTAATAATCGAACAAATTATAGTAGAGTTGTAAAAGATATATTATAGAACGATTATTTTTTCAGAGTATTTCCAAATCAAATATCAATATATCTCTCATCTTTTTCAAAAACTTTGTACGAGATTGAGAATAATACAAATATATGTATAAAGAAAGTGCATGATGATATATAAAAACACCATGAGAGAGATACGGTTATACATATATAAATATAAGGTTATAATTTACAATTCTTCAATTTTGCAACCAACAATTGTCTCAATATCTCGTAGACAGCTATACGCACCTATTTCCTATTGCGTTTGCCTCTTTTTTGCTTGCAGAATTGTATATTTTCTGAATTTTGCGCCCGTAAATTCACGCGCGATCACCCTGCGTGTTTGTTTCAAATACGTTAATTCTCTGAATTCCTGAAGAGGGAGCCACCGTACGGACAAGTTTTCAAATCATTACGTCACTAATTTTAAATCGTTCCACTTGACGCTTCATCTCATTCTGGAGAACGTTCGAAAATTTTACTCCTAGGGCAAAGTGAAGTTTAATTGACCAATCAGGAGCAACTATTTCTTTGTCCTGATTGGTCGATTAAATGCTACTTCGAACACATCCTCTGTTGTTTCAAAAACAAGGACAGATGATGTTGCGAATGACAAGTAAAATGCGCACATATAGCTGTCAACGCGACATTGACAGCTGATTTTATTATATAAAAAAAAAAATAAAAATTGTTCGATTATTCCCGCTTTATTCTACGTGCAACAGGCATTTATTGCTAACCTTTGTCCTTTAATTGTACTTCTTGCACTTCAAAATTTTGCCTCGCGATTTTTATATTTTTCTATCTCTCTCTAACGCGCCGAAATATAAATGCATTTATTCAAATATATTATAAATTTGATTCTTATTTTTTATTTAAAAGAAATAGAGAAAAATATGTGTGGTACAAGGAAAAAACATATTCTATTTATTTCAAGATATGCAAATACGAATGCGTTTTATGCACTTTTTATCGTTCTCGTTGCAGCTGCGCATATACTTTCGACTTTGTAACATGACAGCTCTCTGTTAATAAAAAACGCGCCTCATACATTCGTTCCAAATTTAATTAATATTTAACTTCTATTTTTTTCCTATTCGTTTCCCTCTAAATTTTTCATCATATGTTATATTTGTCATTCGCGAATAACCTATTAAATCGCTTCATCCGAGCGGCGCGACTCGCGAAGGAGTAACGTCACTGTCACTTCGAAATTTCTCGTCGAAGTCAGATTCCGTCCACGTCCAGTTTTTTCCGGTCGACGTTTTCATAGAACAGTGTTCGTCGTTTCGGAAGCATGCTCGAACAAACGGCCGGAAAGAGAATTACGCGAGCTGTAATGTATGTAAGTTAAAACGTCGTCCCGACTGAAAAGTGATTTTGTACGCAATGGATGTAGAGAGAATCGCGATGTTCGCCGGCGTCGGTTTCGCCATCGCCGTCGGCTTATTCGTCCTGTGGGGCCCGTCGCCGAAACCTAGAAAAAAAGGTGATGTCCGAGTCTTAAAACCCCAAGTGTCTGTGTTAAGCGAAAATCGAGATTATTTCTTTGTCATACCCTCTATTTTTTTCTTTCTCTCTTTTGTTGTTTATTTTTTTCATTTCCAATAATAAAATTATCATGAGACTAATATTAGTTATGCATTGTCAATTATCTTTTCTCTTTTTGCAGCTACAACGTTTAAAAAAAATAACAGTAATTAAAATTTTTCTTTCTAGATCTTTTATCAAAGATTTTATTTATTTTGCATTTTTATTTGAATGTAGCTTTTTCTCAATTTTATATCTCTTCAATTTTTAATACTTTTATAATTAATTTTATCTAATTATAAATTTTTTGTATAGAGACGACATTCTGATACTTATAATCTTATTTCTGTTCTAGGCCAAGTTGTCGGGATCAATAATTTGGGATATACATGTTTTCTGAATTCTCTCTTGCAAGCCCTGGCTGCTTGCCCCACATTTATTTTCTGGCTTCAAAGACAACAGGAAAAGAATAGAAATTTTGCTGATACACTATTTTCTGTTCTCAAGAGTACGTTTCTTGTGATCAAATACTAATATTCTAATATCTATCTCTAAATATATTAAATTGCAAGTTCTTCTATTTTTTCAAAATTATTTTTATTTCTCGACAAATTTGAAATCTTTAATCTTAAAGCAACTTTAAATTGTGCAAATTTTTGGAAATTATTTATATATACTATTGTAATTTTTTTATACTTTAATATCTTATACTTCTTGTACTTATTTTATAGAGATTAATGGTTTTGCGGATGACATGTATGGCAATGTGACACCTGTTGAAATCATTTCTTCTGTTGGTTCGCTGTGGAATTTTGGGCCTGGTCATCAAGATGCTCACGAGCTGTTCCATGTAGTTCTTAGCGCATTAGATGCTGAAATGCAGCCTGCAAATAGAGTACGTGATATTAAAGAGTGTTCCAGTATTGTTTGTAGCATTTGTTATAATTATTTGTTTAGCAGTTAGTTAAAGTAGTTAAAAGAAAAATTGCATATCTTCAAGATGTTTATAACAGATAAAAATTGGCTTTTACGATTTAACTTACTAATTAATCATTAATTTTCGCACTTTTAGAAGGTTGTTTGTCTGATGCGTTGCCACCAAGTCCGAATATAGAATCAAATATAAGAGGAGTGGTTGACATTCCTGAATCTCAGGTTCTAAATCTCAGAAGCGCATCCTGCAATGATATTGCATCGGTGAAAACTGAGACCGATACTCCAAAGGGCTTCGATAAGAACTGTAACAATCAAATGATGACCTCAACCTCGTCTGTAGCCAGTATGTCTCCGAGCATCGGGTGCAAACCCGGTATGATACTCGCCAGATCTTCGGAATTGCTGTCGCGAAGCGTTCAAAGCAATGGCGATTGTAAGAGTCCCTTCAGATCGTGGAAGTCCCTATGTGCCATGCCCTTCATCAACATTCCCTCGGTCTCGATAGAGACGCATCCGTTCTCAGGCCTGATCACCAGCCAAGTTCAGTGCAGCAGCTGCTTCTGGAAGGTACAGAAAAGTGAAAGATAAAACACTTTTTGTAATCGATATTTCTCAAAAATAATTTCCTTCGCACAAATAATTTTTCCTTTAAATTTAAACTATCGAATTAAACATTTATCAAAAATATGTACTAAATTTTGATATCAATCTGATTTGTTTTCAGTCTTCAGTACGTTACGACAAGCTCGAGACCTTATCGTTACCATTACCACCGCTCACCTCGTTCATGCCGCAACATCACACTTTGGAGTGGCTGCTGTCACGTTTCGTAGACAGCGAGATGGTACGCGACGTGCAGTGCGATGGATGCTCGTCGCGCTGTGCCGCTGTCAAGACTCTCACTCTTGGAAAATTGCCCAAGTGCTTATGCTTGCACATCCCGAGGACTACATGGAGTTCCTCGGGCGTGCCAATTAAAAGGGACGACCAGATTACGTTCCCAGAACTTCTGGTGCTAGATCCTTACACTTACACAGAGACAAAAAAGAGAAATGCACAGGTAATTGTTACAACTCTCTTCTAATAAATGGAAAAATTTTATTGAATTTATTATAATTAAAAAAATAAAAACTAAAAGATTATTTAGTAAATATCTTAATAAAAATTAAAAGATAATTTTATTAATTATAACTGTACGACAATTTATTAAGTTAAGTGTAACACCGTTATAATCAATAAAATTATCTTTTAATTTTTATTAAAATATTAAATACTTACTTAATCTTTTAATTTTTATTGTTTCTAAATTAATTTATCAAATTATTACTAATTTATTAATTTTATTTTTAAAAATTGAATTTAAAAGATTTATCAAAATTTAATTAATTTGGGAACCTAAGAATTATAATTAATTCATATGTATAAACTTCTAGCCAAGATAATACAATTAATAATATTAAATTCAAAATAATAAATACTTCAATTAATTTAATTTAAAATCTTTATATTTATAGGGTGATGTGAAATTTCTCGATAGCAGTTTTACGACGATACAGGGTAAACATAAGTATCGATTATGCGCAGTGATCGAGCACCGTGGCCCGGTGGATTCCGGTCACTTTGTTTGCTTTAGACGCGGAAATAAAACGGATCAATGGTTGTACACGTCCGATATCATCGTCGAGAGCGTGTCCCTGACGCAGGTGCTGCTTGCTAGCCCGTACCTGCTTTTCTACGAGCGCATCAGCAGCGTTTGTCCTAGCTAGGAACAAATTTTCGAAGTGATAGGCAATCTATAGGAATTACATAATTGCGCATTCAATGAGAAATGAGAGCTTACTCTTTTTAGCTACGCTCTCTCATGCTTTCGGCATTGAAAGTATAACGATCATGCAGTGATGGAAGTAATATGGAAAGATAGAATCATATAGATTTGCAAATAAGCGTGTAGAAAGTGCAGCTGGAAAAAGAACAGGAAAAGAATATAAGATTTGCAAAATACAAGAGACTGTCGAATTTTCCATAATTAGTTTAGTAATTATCGCTCGATATTCGCGACGTGTAATTGCGATAATACTTTGTTATAATCTACGACTATAAAGCGCGTCCCTAGGTGATATTTTATAGCAGTGGCGAAGTATATCAAGTATAATAATCTAAAATTCAGGAGCATTTTAACAGATGCGATAATAATTGCCATTATTAAACGCTGACGAATCTAACGGTGTAGTTAGTTTTGTGAAAGAGAAACTTCTTGCTTCTGATACATAGTGATAGTAGATTTCTATTGGAAGAGACTATCAATTCTTACAAATCATTTTTTGATCAATTCATCGTCATTAAACTTCATTTTAATGAGGACTGGGATTGTGCCAATGAAAAAATCTCTTTGAATTAAATTTATTGAGAGGGATAAGCGAAAAATCTTGTATTTTTTTATTATAGTTTGTATCTTAAAGAGCTCTTCAAGTTCTTGCAATATGTGCAATTGTTAAAAATATTACTATAATTATTAAGACTGTAAATCTTATTTTTGTATATATCAAAGAATTGTTTTCTTTCTGGTTGGCATAAATGAACATGCTAATCACCAGAAATAAATTTACTTTAAGAACTAACATAAAATACGTAATATATGTAATTTAAAATCTTATAGAAAATGTATCAAATTGAAATAAAATAACAAAAATGATAAATCTTATTCAAAATGAAAATATGAGTTTTTCCCTTTTTTATAAAATATAATTTTATTAAAATAATAAATTTAATTAAAAATATGTAATAATTACAATTTTTATTTAACTGTTATACTTCATATCTTTTTACTATAAATTGGAAAGAAGTATAGAATCTAATATAACTATCAAGTCTAATCCACGTTAAAACGTAACCTTACTCTATCTCATTTCCAAACATTATCACAAGCATTATATGGGTATTTTGATTTCCATATTATAATTCACATATGTATGATTGAGTGATAAAAATGTGAAATAGTGATAATAAATGTAAAGAATTGTAGAATATCATATTGTGTCTCAAAACGAAAAACAGAAATCTATAAATTGGAAGAAAAAACAGTTCATTGAGGTTAGACGAAAAATATAAAAAGCAGCTTATTGAGAAAAATTATATGGAAATAAAGTGTGATTGTATTGCAAATAATAAAATACAATAAGAGAAGAGGTACGTGCTTATGTAAAAAAAATCAGAAAAGAAATATTAATAATGTCATCTATAACAAGAGCCTTTCATATCTTGTTTTGTTAGAATCAGCTCCAAGAATTTATTTACTTCTCGTGAAAATTCTCACAAGTCAGCATGACTGCTCCAATCAGCACAGCCATGGATAGTTTGAGTGCTGCTCTAAAATCCAACATAATCCCCAACCAGGAATATTTGCTACAAGGTTCTGTACTAGATAATTCAGTAGAAGTCTTATTGCATAGACTTCGTGGTTTATGCGACAATGTGGACACTGGACCAGAACACTACTATGATCATGAGATGTGTTTTAGTATTCGAAGGTACAATTCTATTTCCTCTTTTGTTCTTTTTTCTTTCCTTTTCTCTAATTTAATTCTAACAAATTAAGATGATTATGAGAAAAATATAATTACACATTTCATCAATTTGCTCCAAATTGTAAGAATTTGTTTGGTTTTAGAGGCTCACCGCAGGAACAACCACTGCTACTGCGAGTACGACGTGCTCTAGATCCGATTCATGCAGATATGCCATGGCAATTACGATATATTGGCCAACCTGAACTAGGTGATAAATCTCGGCCAACAGTTGTACGCAGTAGCATTGATATAGCAACTAGTAATACTGTGGTAGAGTTTCTTACCGAGCTTGGCTGTAAGCTGGACTTTGAATATGTTACTCGTGGTTACATGTTCCGTAAAGGTAGAATGAAGGTTACAGTATCGAAGATTTTCAAGGTGAACCAAGGTAAGATGCCAGAAGGTACGTCAGAGATGATATCGCAGAGTTATTTGGTGGAGCTGAGTGTATTAGCTCCCAGTGGACAAGATGCCATAGCAGAGGACATGAGGGTATTTGCTGAGCAGCTACGACCTTTGGTGCAACTGGAAAAGATAGATTATAAGAGACTGGTCCATTAGTCGTAGGGTTTTCTAATATTATAGAGTATAGAGTATAATTTATTAAAGATTCTGTATTCATTATGAATCTTCTTAATAAAACTTAATAAAAAATGTATTTTATCTTTTATAAATTTCATAGCATTAATATAAGCTCAAAACAGTGAATAAGAATAAGCTACTAATTTAAATAAATATCTCAGAAAATAATGACTTTAAATATATGATAAAGAACAAGCAAAGAAATATAGTATTATATTAAAATTATATTTTGTTCAATTTTTTTCTCTAAAACTCCTAATATTACATATCTAATACAATAATAATGCTAAGTTTCTAAACAAATTTTTAAATAGAATAGAAAGTGTAAGTCAAATCACGATAACTATTTTCTAAAAATATTCAAATTTTTTGTTATTCTTCACTTATATCATCATAATCTTTAATTTATTTCCTACTCAAAAACACTAATTAACTCATGTGTGAAAAAGAATTCGTAAAAAAGTAATTTATTATTAAATAACTTTTCTAATTAATTGGTTAATTTAAATATTAATACCTTATTTGACTTACGTGTAGCAAGATTTACTACAAAATGCCACTACGTGGCGCTAATATAGTTATATTTGTGAGTACTTTAAGGGGTGCCGTCACATAAGGCGTAACTAATCTAGTGATTTAATAAAAGATACGCCGTGGTTACGCTATATAGTTATATTTGTGAGTACTTTAAGGGTGCCGTCACATGAGGCGTAACTATCTAGTGATTTAATAAAAGATACGCCGTGGTTACGCTATTCTGAAGGACGGCTTTCACACAGGGCATATTGCGCGGAACGTGTAAGGGTTGCGATTACATGGACGCGCGGAAACGCGGAAACGCGGAAACGCGGAAGAGAAAGTAACTAAACTTTACTAGAGTCCCGCATTTCCGCGCGTTCCGTTCCGTCTGTTTTGATTGCCTTATATTACATGGAGCACATTTTGAGCGGAAAGCGGACGGGGAATTATAAAATATAATATTTAACTATATTTATTGATTAAATGCTGTATTCAATAGATAAGTTGAAAAAATGAACATATTAAAAGGAATTACAATGAATTAAGTAAATATAAATTTAAAAATTAATACAAATGTCTATTTGTCACTATACCGTTCCGCTTTTCCGCTCAAAATTGCTCCATGTAATATAAGGCAATCAAAACAGACGGAACGGAACGCGCGGAAATGCGGGACTCTAGTAAAGTTTAGTTACTTTCTCTTCCGCGTTTCCGCGTTTCCGTCGTTCTTCTCGCGTGTTTAAGCGGGAAAAGCGGAATCCGTTGTTTTCTTATACATTCTTATATATGAGTCGCGAGATCGCTTTGCCGGACGAGTGTTAATGGATAATCCTGTAAGTATTTAAATAATTTTCAGTAGGTAGTGAATAATAAGAGTTCTGTTATTTTTGCAGAAAGATTTCTGTAATTTCTATACTTTTCAAAATTATATGTGATATAACACCTACTGAACGAAATCATAACCTCACTTTATTTGAAATAAAGATAATTGAACAATTGTATTTATTCGCAGGCAACAAAGTGCGGCTACTGTGGTTTCATTTTGCGAGGGTCGTGTGGAATAATTTTGGATCATGATTGCTTTGCCGCATACAATGAAGATACTGACATTATAAGTGTTGACGAAAATGCCATCGTCACTATGAGTACGTTAAAAATAATGCTTGATGATATTGACGTTCAGTGCTTGCTATTATTGATACACTTGCTATTATTAATAGCAATTACACATTAACAATTTCTAGTTTTAATAATATATATTTTTATACATGAGAGATAGTGTTATATGACTTAAAAATACAAGGAACTGTTAAAGGTGCGCATCAAGCATTGAAAGGTCGTAAAAAATATAAATGTCTCACTGATCCAACATATTGGCCAATTAAGACATTTCACAGTAACTTGAGTCATTGCGTATTATTTTAAAGGGAAGAGACTTGAAACTGAAGTTGTACAGCATTCAAAGGCTGGAGCTGAACAGCGTGTGTCCACACACTCTACGCACACTCTCACACAAAATGAATTGCTGATTGAGTTGGTTCGTGTTCGAAGAGCTTTATGGGATCATTCCATTCCAACTAGCGAAAGAACGAAGTTAAAAAAAAGATAATCTGTGGCAAGAGATTGTAAACGCATTTGGTGGTAAGATCATTTTTTATTTAATTACTTATATGAAATATTTTATCCACGTGAAAAATAAATGATAACTGATTCTCTGTAAATTGTAGAATCCCTCACTTTAGAAACAGTAAAACAAAGATGGAAACACCTTCGAGATTCATATATGAAAGCTAAGAAGAAAATGCGAGGATATATACGAAGTGGATCGGGGGCGGAATCAGGTCATCCATTAAAAAGTTCTTTCTACCATTATGAACAAATGAGATTTCTCGACAATATTGAAAAGATAGCTCCGTAAGTATTAATTTACATTGTTTTTAACTGAGATTTTACAAACGTTCAAATTGTGTGCTATTGAATTTAATAATTTTTAAAATCGTTTTTATTTCAGAACTGCCAGCTCCATTCAGCACTTTTTAGAAATGCCTTCATCTCATAATGATGTGCAAATGGATACTATGCAAGACGATAACTTTGACAGTTTTGACGATTCTATAATGGATTCTGCATACCCACCATCAGAAACATCACAAACTTCATCATGTTCCTCGGCACGGACTAAAAAGAACAGTAAGTGACAATTGTTTATTTCAAAATTAAAAAGATAAGATATGGAACTACGAGCTAATCAAGATCTTAATGCTAAAATATTAAACATTTATTGTTCAACATTTTAACATTAAAGACCTTGCTTGGCTCACAGTCCTATATCTTGTCTTTTTGATTTTCCTTTGGTTTTGTATTTTTTTAGACACTCACCATGTATACGTATATATTATTAATTACAGATGTCCAAAAGCAAACTGAAATAGAAAAGAAATTTTTAAGCATGATTGATGAAGAATTGTCGCAGAAAAAACGTGATGTAGTCGACAGTTATTTAGAACAGCTTGGCGACATACTACGTCGATTGCCCTATATACGACGCAGAAACCTACAAAGAAAAATGCTCGATATTGCCATAGAAGAAGAGGATGCCATGTTTGCAGAGAGGGAGAATGCTAATTAGAAATATTTCTTTAATATTATAAATTTTTAATGTTTTGTATTACTTCGTAAAAATAAAATATATTTTTCTATTTATTACATAATTTTATTTAAAGTTTTCAAGTCATTACGTAATATTTAAAACTTATAATTTATACATAATGTGTCAAAAGTCGTTATTTAGAACTTTGTCCAATTGCCACGATAAAGGATTGACATGCTCAAAATAATAAGTAAAGTTGTCTCGAATTTTCATTGTTATAGACCTTTGTGAAGAATTTGTATAACTTGCACGTCTAAGTCCATTACTTGTAGCCAGAAAGTCATGTTCTTGTATATTACTGTATCTTCTTTCTGCAAGTTCTACTTCCATTTCCTTATTAATAATAAAATTATGCAAGACAATCGTTGCCTGCACAGCTTTTACGACAGTAGATGTGTTTGCAATAATAGGTTGACGATATATTCTCCATCTTGCAACCAAAATCCCAAAAGCACATTCAACAGTTCTCCTTGCTCGACTCAAGCGGTAATTGAAAATTTTTCTACTAATATTTAGTCGCCCACTACGAGGATATGGTCGCATCATATATGTGCTCAAAGGAAAAGCCTCATCTCCCAGCAAAACGTACGGAAATTCCAAATCTGTATCATTCAAACGCCTTGGTAGAGGGATATGAAGAGCATTTGTTTCAAGTATATATGGTAATCCACTGTTTTCAAAAACGCCTCCGTCGCTTTGCCTTCCTTCAGCTCCAATATCAACAATGACGAAGCGGTTCTTGGCATCACTTACTGCGAGCAGATTTATGCTGTGATTTCCTTTATAGTTGTAGTAGCACGAACCACTACAAGGCGGTGCCTGCAATTGAAAACCATCATTGTGATGAACACATTACTCATTCCAAATCATACATCATTACATTATTAATATAATATATTAAACCTAAATTAATATTATTATTTGTAATATACATACCTGAATTATGACATGCTTTCCATCGATAGCGCCTATGCAGTTTGGAAATTGGCATATTGCTTCAAAGTCTCTTGCAATTGTATTCCAGTTTTCTTCAGTCGGGTCAATCATAACTTTCTCCTGTAAAGAGATCCAAATTGCTTGACATGTTTCCGGAATAATTTGTGATAGCGTACATTGGGCAATGCGAAAAGCGTACGATAGCGATGTCATGCTATCGCCAGATGCCAACCATCGTAGAGTCACTTCTAATCTTGTTCTGGCTGGTATTGGTTTTCGAACTACATGTTGTTTTTCAATTAGTGGACCAACAATATTGAGTAATTCGTTAAATATTGTTGGTGACATTCTGAAGTAATTGAAATATTTTTCCGGATCTGTCAATCGCATTTCCACAACTAGATTGTCGCTGGCACCTTGCAGAAGTCTTCTTCTCTGCATAAAAATAGGCCGTACCCACATTGCACGGTCTTTTTTGTCTTGCAATTTTTTATAACGCAAATACAAATAAAACATTGAAATAACTTTTTTTCTTATCTCAGCATATCTCATCGGTTCATTCCTTGATCGTATGAGATACTTTATAATAATCATCAACATCAAGTTTGGATCCATATAACACAGCAACTTTTAAAAGAATCAAAGTATGAAAACTTTCTTTTTCAATCGACTCCGAAATTTTATGGTACACACTTCATTGACAACAGATTTTGATGCGGTCGTTCCGCGAGTTTGTTTCTCCTTATATTACATGGAGCACAATTTCCGCGGAACAGCGGAACGGTATAGTGACAAATAGACATTTGTATTAATTTTTTAAATTTATATTTACTTAATTCATTGTAATTCCTTTTAATATGTTCATCTTTTCAACTTATCTATTGAATACAAGCATTTTAATCAATAAATATAGTTAAATATTAATATTTTATAATTCCCCGTTCCGCTTTTCCGCTCAAAATGTGCTCCATGTAATATAAGGCAATCAAAACAGACGGAACGGAACGCGCGGAAATGCGGGACTAGTAAAGTTTAGTTACTTTCTCTTCCGCGTTTCCGCGTTTCCGCGCGTCCATGTAATCGTACCCTGAGACGCTCTTATCTTGGGAACGTATTAATAGTTACTGCATTGACCACTACTACGATATGGCGCTGAAATCAGTGAGAAATGCTGGTTTCTCCTTCATCTAGACTCTAGACCTTTGGCGATCTGTCTATTAATTTGTGATTTTGTGACCTGTGCAGCCTGTGGCGACTTTAACACAGCCAACCTCTATTAAATACTACAATTGTTTAAGGTATTGATCATTTAACTGATAGATTATCAATCGAGGCAATTTTTAGATTATGTTCGTGCATTTAGTATCAAAAGAAAAGTTTTACGGTGCGAGAAAACAATCAAAATTTCCATGGCGTCGTTTCAGTGAAACCGAAGAGAACGCCTTACAACATAACTTTAAATGGCGGTGAAAAAAAGATTGTTATCGTGAAAACGTGAGGAAAGATTAAACATTTTAATAAAAGATGACAAAATTTAAGGCGATATATTTCTGTGAAAAATTAAATAACGCGAAGATGGGGAGAGATTAAAAAAGACGAAGATTCTCTTGATTATACAGTACAATATGGCGCTCATACAACGGTTTTTATTCTAATTGATTCGGACTCGATTATGCAGCTTTGTATTGATCAAACGTGGTAGAGTTCTTTTTAAAATCTTTCTCCAGAGCACATTACCGTGCCTGTGAAATATAGCACACAGTGGACTGGAATGGTCATTATTAATGAGTTTTTTTTTTCTCATTATTTTAGTTACATTTTTACATTTCACCTTTGCTGATGGAACATAAGCTTTAGAATTGTATATATTAAAAACGAGTTATCACTTTATTATTATAATTGCATAATAAAAAGAGTGATAAAAGTATTCATATTATTATGTTGTCTTTATATCTATTTTATTTATATTTATACAATAATATGATAAAATAAATTGTACTATTAAATATTTTCAACTAAAAAGTTGAAACTCCTATTTTTTAAAAAACTCCATCTTCATCTCGACTAAGAGCCAAACGCGATGTTAATGCGACAAATTAATATTTAGAAATTTTTGGAAACTGAGGAATTTGAATCCTATGGTTGGGATCTCAGAAATTCCCCTTGTTCCTTCTCTTAACATCCCCTGTAAGAAAAAGACGAGAAAAATATTGGTCCGAAAGTCGGCTGAATCGGGAAACGAACCCGAGACCTTCCGCTTGCCGGGCGACTGCTCTTCCAGCTGAGCTATTCAGACACTTAAAGTGTCTGAATAGCTCAGACTACTGAGCTAATCAAGCGACTGCTCTTCCAGCTGAGCTATTCAGACACTTTAAGTGTCTGAATAGCTCAGCTGGAAGAGCAGTCGCCCGGCAAGCGGAAGGTCTCGGGTTCGTTTCCCGATTCAGCCGACTTTCGGACCAATATTTTTCTCGTCTTTTTCTTACAGGGGATGTTAAGAGAAGGAACAAGGGGAATTTCTGAGATCCCAACCATAGGATTCAAATTCCTCAGTTTCCAAAAATTTCTAAATATTAATTTGTCGCATTAACATCGCGTTTGGCTCTTAGTCGAGATGAAGATGGAGTTTTTAAAAAGTTGAAAGTTTACAAAAATTTATTATTCTATAATAAAAATATTAAGTCGGCTCCTATATTTATTAAATTCAAGATATAGTTACAAAAGCTTTTGATTTCTTACAGAAACAGGAAAGAAAACTTTTTAGAGGACATGGTGATAGTGTGGATCAATTATGCTGGCACACCTTCTATCCAGAATTATTGTCCACAGCGAGTGGAGATAAGACAGTTCGTACCTGGGATACAAGGACCCAGAAATGTACAGCGAACATCAGTACAAGAGGGGAGGAGAATATCAACATATCGTAGTCCTTAATTTTTAAAAACACGATCTACACTTTACTCCTCTCAGCCATAGAGCCACACGCAATGTTATTGCGATAATTAAGAAAGAAAATTTGGAAACTAAGGAATTTGTATCCTATGGTTGGGATCTCAGAAATTCCCCTTGTTCCTCTCTTAACTTCCCCTGTAAAGAAATAGGTGAGAAAAATGGAATTTGGAAACTAAGGAATTTTTCTCACCTATTTCTTTACAGGGGAAGTTAAGAGAGGAACAAGGGGAATTTCTGAGATCCCAACCATAGGATACAAATTCCTTAGTTTCCAAATTTTCTTTCTTAATTATCGCAATAACATTGCGTGTGGCTCTATGGCTGAGAGGAGTAAAGTGTAGATCGTGTTTTTAAAAATTAAGGACTACGATATGTTGATATTCTCCTCCCCTCTTGTACTGATGTTCGCTGTACATTTCTGGGTCCTTGTATCCCAGGTACGAACTGTCTTATCTCCACTCGCTGTGGACAATAATTCTGGATAGAAGGTGTGCCAGCATAATTGATCCACACTATCACCATGTCCTCTAAAAAGTTTTCTTTCCTGTTTCTGTAAGAAATCAAAAGCTTTTGTAACTATATCTTGAATTTAATAAATATAGGAGCCGACTTAATATTTTTATTATAGAATAATAAATTTTTGTAAACTTTCAACTTTTTAAAAAACTCCATCTTCATCTCGACTAAGAGCCAAACGCGATGTTAATGCGACAAATTAATATTTAGAAATTTTTGGAAACTGAGGAATTTGAATCCTATGGTTGGGATCTCAGAAATTCCCCTTGTTCCTTCTCTTAACATCCCCTGTAAGAAAAAGACGAGAAAAATATTGGTCCGAAAGTCGGCTGAATCGGGAAACGAACCCGAGACCTTCCGCTTGCCGGGCGACTGCTCTTCCAGCTGAGCTATTCAGACACTTAAAGTGTCTGAATAGCTCAGACTACTGAGCTAATCAAGCGACTGCTCTTCCAGCTGAGCTATTCAGACACTTTAAGTGTCTGAATAGCTCAGCTGGAAGAGCAGTCGCCCGGCAAGCGGAAGGTCTCGGGTTCGTTTCCCGATTCAGCCGACTTTCGGACCAATATTTTTCTCGTCTTTTTCTTACAGGGGATGTTAAGAGAAGGAACAAGGGGAATTTCTGAGATCCCAACCATAGGATTCAAATTCCTCAGTTTCCAAAAATTTCTAAATATTAATTTGTCGCATTAACATCGCGTTTGGCTCTTAGTCGAGATGAAGATGGAGTTTTTTAAAAAGTTGAAAGTTTACAAAAATTTATTATTCTATAATAAAAATATTAAGTCGGCTCCTATATTTATTAAAATCAAGATATAGTTACAAAAGCTTTTGATTTCTTACAGAAACAGGAAAGAAAACTTTTTAGAGGACATGGTGATAGTGTGGATCAATTATGCTGGCACACCTTCTATCCAGAATTATTGTCCACAGCGAGTGGAGATAAGACAGTTCGTACCTGGGATACAAGGACCCAGAAATGTACAGCGAACATCAGTACAAGAGGGGAGGAGAATATCAACATATCGTAGTCCTTAATTTTTAAAAACACGATCTACACTTTACTCCTCTCAGCCATAGAGCCACACGCAATGTTATTGCGATAATTAAGAAAGAAAATTTGGAAACTAAGGAATTTGTATCCTATGGTTGGGATCTCAGAAATTCCCCTTGTTCCTCTCTTAACTTCCCCTGTAAAGAAATGTGAGAAAAATGGAATTTGGAAACTAAGGAATTTTCTCACCTATTTCTTTACAGGGGAAGTTAAGAGAGGAACAAGGGGAATTTCTGAGATCCCAACCATAGGATACAAATTCCTTAGTTTCCAAATTTTCTTTCTTAATTATCGCAATAACATTGCGTGTGGCTCTATGGCTGAGAGGAGTAAAGTGTAGATTGTGTTTTTAAAAATTAAGGACCACGATATGTTGATATTCTCCTCCCCTCTTGTACTGATGTTTGCTGTACATTTCTGGGTCCTTGTATCCCAGGTACGAACTGTCTTATCTCCACTCGCTGTGGACAATAATTCTGGATAGAAGGTGTGCCAGCATAATTGATCCACACTACCACCATGTCCTCTAAAAAGTTGTTTCCTGTTTCTGTAAGAAATATTTACATCAAAAGCTTTTGTAACTATATCTCGAATTTATTATTCTATATTTAATATTACACATTAATTTTTATCAAAAATAAAATTTAAATAAAATTAACTTTCTGTTGAAAAAAAGGTTTTTTTTATTAATAATTTATTATGATTTTGCAGTCTTAAGGTGCCTTTTTATACGCAGCATGCCACAGCAAATCACATGATCAATATTTATGAGAGCATATTTTTTGTTCTTACTTTATTACTTTAAGATTATGATTTTTGTTTTTATATTCTCATAATTATCTATTGTATTCTTAAAATCTATTATTTAACTGATATAATAATTAGAATTGACTAGTTGTGTGTTCTTCTGCTTTGCTGCCTTTTCTGTTCGTTTAATTAAACTTCATCAATACCAACAAATTGTTGCGGCACCATACTGCACGTGAAATAGTACCTTTACATTGTAGTTGAATGTATTGTACTTAATTTGTAACTTACAGATAGAAAATGTCACGCTATCGTGAATGGGACCTGTCCTGTAAGGTATATGTTGGCAATCTGGGTAGTAGTGCAAGCAAACATGAATTAGAAGGTAAATTTAGTAAATATGGCCCTCTGAGAAATGTGTGGGTGGCCAGAAATCCACCTGGTTTTGCATTTGTGGAATTTGAGGACCCACGAGATGCTGAAGATGCAGTGAGAGGACTAGATGGAGTGTAAGTTTAAAAATCAATTTTATAATAATAGTAATAGTTCAAAAAGAATAATCTTTACAATATATAGAGATCTGTTCTTTATAACTGAACTGGGTGCTAGTTCTTTCCAATGTGGAATAAAAAAACTAGTGCGACCAGTTCAACTCTGAAGAACAGACCTTATATAAGCTAATAACTAGTAATAATGAGAAACATCAAGATAAATAAAATTATAAAAATAAATTACAGATAAATTATTTTACATTATATAAATAAATTATTTATTATTTAAAAAGCTACAATATGGAATAATTATTAAGCATCAATTATTTATTTGCTATATATATATATATAGCAAATAAATAATTGATGCTTATATATATATATATATATATATATATATAATTATTGTTTTATACAACTATATAATTACATTTTATAACTTTTACCCTTCCAAAGGGATAAAAAATAATTTAAGATAGTGCAATTTGTAATTTTTTATAGCTTAAAGTATTAGTATTTTATTTTCTGTCTTTCAGACACTTGTGTGGTACAAGAGTGAGAGTAGAAATGTCCTCTGGAAGAAGTCGACGAGGCGGTGGTGGTCGCAGACCTGGTCCTAGATATTCCAGGTAAGGAAAACCCATAGTATTTTGTAACAATTGCAAATTTTTACAGTGAGAAATATGTTAGTACTGTGACAAAGACTGACATCTTGACATCCCTCGCCAATGTAAGTATTAATGGAAAAGAACTTTCTTTTGCCTCAAAAACAGGAGTGCTCTTAGAGAAACAAACAATGCACTTTTTTTCTTTCTTTTCTTCAAAGAATTCTTTCTTGCACATCACTACCAGACTCGATAGTTTTCCTTTCTCATGTTCTGTGTGTAGAAATGCTGATAAACATCATTATATATATTTATACATTGTGTTTCATTCTTTTTTTCTCTTGATGTCTGACTAATCCTTGCTCGTGATTACAAATTTGTAGTTCGAGATGATTGATAATTCCAATTTAAATTATATCGTACGATATAATTTTCTTAGAGATATACCTGGATTAGATGGTAAGTCCATATGAGAATGGTGAAGAATTAATGAACAGGAATATGTTAAAATATTAAGACTTAATTCCTACGTACTAAAATAAAAGACACTGAAAAAATTTGGATTCCTAATTATTTTCAATGATTTATGAAATGTATTAAATACAAATTTTAATTTTGTTTATAATTATAATATTATATGTCAGTAAATATAATAGACATAGTAAGAATAGACTGAACGTCAGGCGCCAAATCGAAAGCTCAGGTAGAAAAGGATCAAATAGAAGAGGATAAGGGATAGGAGAGTAGATGCCGCCCCTTTTCTCTCTCACTCTTTCCTTCTTCACTTATTAGAGATTCCTATCCTTTTCTATCTTATACATTCTGTTCTTTTCTACCTGAGCTTCATTTCTTACAAGAGGACACGCTTGGTCTATTCTTACTCTATGTCTATGGTAAATATATCTTGTTCTCACAATTTAAAGAAATTAAATGTTAATAGTATAATTTCTATTTAACTTAAGCCACTCATAATGAAATAAAGTTCAAACTTTAAATCTATTTTAAAAATATACAGAGGCATAAATTTTCACTTAAAAATTTAATTAAATTATTGTTCTAAATTACTCAGTTGAATCATTTCAATCTAACAACTTTTCTACTAACTTTCCATACTGCTAGTCACCTATAATAAAATTTTAATGTGTATATATTAATTATATATAATATTATCTCAATAGGATTATTCGTTTTTAAAAGATCTCTTATAGTCTTTTATCTTACTACGACGGAAAACTTGGATATAATCGATCTCTGTTTTGGGTTATCACTTAGCGCCTATTTTTCTATCTGTTCCTTTCATTATTTCTTTTTTACCCATTGTAATGCCCTCATGTAAATATGCTTTAGCAAACAATCTGATTTCTGTATGATATATATTTCTCTGTTTTTTTAAACAAATGTGTAGGTCCCTATCGTGTAGCCCTCGCAGGAGATCTCTGGATCATTATCCGAGGTAAGATTTTCTTGCTTCTCCTAGTCTCCCGTCATCCTGTTGCAAAAGATCCACCTTGCTTTTTTTCTTCTATTTCTATCTTTTCTTTCTATCTTCCTTAATGTTAAAATTGATCACAGTTTTTAGGAACTACTAACGAGGAGAATACCCCAACTGCCAACCGAGTTTTTTTTTAATGAGCTTTGGTGTGGTGGTAGATTAGGAAAATATAAGATTACGCCTCCAATATTAGTCGTAGATACGCAGCCGTTTTCGAGAATGTGAGGGTTGAAATTAGGCGAGCACGTTATCTACCTTAAATTTAAAGATTCAATCGTAGCATTTCGTCAGCCGCGCAACGAACGCACTGGACTCACAGTCCAAAGATCATGCGTTCGAGCCTCGGCAGTTTTTCTTTTTTTTTCTTTTCTTTTTTTTCCTTTCTCTCTCTCTAAACGCCAATTTATTTTACTTATTAATAATAATATATTATACCTGAAAAACGGTTGATCTTTAGGTTTAAACGGTCGTCTCTATCATTTGTTTCAAGATAGAATCTGACCTTATATTTTATTTGTTGTCACTTTTTAAAAACAAAATGTTAATAGTCGAGGTCACAATATAAAATGTTTGAAATTGTATTTGTAAGTAAAATAACACGTTTGACAGTGCCAAGGCTCGAACGCATGATCTTTGGACTGTGAGTCCAGTGCGTTCGTTGCGCGGCTGACGAAATGCTACGATTGAATCTTTAAATTTAAGGTAGATAACGTGCTCGCCTAATTTCAACTCTCACATTCTCGAAAACGGCTGCGTATCTACGGCTAATATTGGAGGCGTAATCTTATATTTTCCTAATCTACCACCACACCAAAGCTCATTAAAAAACTCGGTTGGCAGTTGGGGTATTCTTCTCGTAAGACAAATAAAAACTCAATACGTGAGGCCATTACCGCCAAATTACTTGGCAGACGCGTACATTTAGTTCTTTTGAATTTTTTATAGATCTATGTTGAGAAGCTCGCGTAGAATGCCGTTACTCTAGGTAATTGATTCTTTTTTCACGCTGCTTAGCTATTTTTCGTATTACCTCGCTTCGTAAAAATTTTCAGAATCTACGTGATGGATCTGATGATAAACCAGATAACAATCAGTAGGTATAGATATTTCAAGAGCTTGTATTCATCATAGCATGTTTAAATATATATTGCATGTGTGCGTTATCTATATCACTTAAGATAGATACAGATAGTTATTATACAATCGCTAAATCATTTCAAGAAACATCTGAAAGACGATGTTGAAAACGAATTAATGAGCGAATTAATCAATAATCATGAAAAAAAGTTTACATTATATCTACTTTAACATTTTTATGAAAATTGATTCTCGCTAATTAATTTTATCATCGTTCTTTTAAGCGATCGAAACTTTGAGAGATGATGAAACTTTAAGATGATGATCAATTGTGTGGGATAAATTGTATACATTCGAAAGATGATAAATTTGAAAAACAATTAGTGCTTAATTAAATAATCGAGTACAGGAAAAGGACAGGAATAAATTGTGTAATAATAGATAACAATGAAGGAAATTTGAAAATAATTTAATAAAATAAAACAGAAAATAGGAGATTAGAATCGAAACTTTCAAACACACATGAGGTGTTATAGCTTAGAAAAAAGCAGAATTGAATTTGTAAAATCTTGTCTAAATTATTGTAAATTGTCATCGATTTTATTCTTTAAATATTCTTTCAATCGCATAATAATATTTTCTTATTGACAGTTTAATGTAAAATAATATGTTCTATATCAATTCTTGAATTGATTTCTGAATGATTGCTTCATGTTTGATATTTTTTTACTGATTAATAATATTTTATACCAATTAGTATAAGAAGATAATATATACAGAAAGTTTCTCAAGTATTTTAATTTTATTTTAACAGTAAATATCTTAAAGTTTTACATTTTGCGATTTTTTTGTGATTGTTTGCAATGAAAATGTAGTGTATACCGTAAATGATGATATAGAATCAATGAGCATAAAGCACAGAGGTCCTCTTCTTTTTTTCGTATGCATTCGAGTGGGCAGTCTAAGATAAAGGAGAATACAAAAATCAGTCGGTGATAAGGGCAAAAGGCGAGCATGTGTATGCAATTTTATTTTCAATTCGTAAAGTTCTTTTTTTTTCAAAGTGATAAAAGTATGAAAACAAAAAAAAATTAAGAGGAAAATATCCGATATAGTGGCCAGGAATATGATAACGTTGATTATATTGCTAAAACTGACGTTTGCAGATTCTACCAGCGTCAGCTCCTAGCTCTGCTCGTCTCCCCGCCACTACTACTACTACTACTACTACTTCTACTACTACTACTACAGCCACCGTGAAAAAGCGTATTCATACGCGAAAAAAAGCAAAATTACCAATCTTGCAATCGTCGCCAATCGAACAAAACTGAACATAAAATATATATGCCTGCCTGCCTGCCCACTAACTTCCCAACCAAGTCACCATCAGTCACCACCAAGTCACCAAGTATAGGAAGCCGTCCGTACGTCGTATGTCACGTCACGTCGTCCGTCGATGTTCTGCGATGTTGCGATACGCACATAGTACACAACAGCGAAACAACCTGTATGCGTGCTGCCGGAGTGCCGCCAAAACCGAGAATGCCATCTTTTGTTGCTGTCACCCCGTTCGACATCGTTACATCGCTAAAACAAACCGTCCTGAAACCGAAACAAAACCGTTCATCGTTCTACTACGAGACTTTCCCATTCGATAACCACTACTATTACTACTATTCTTCCATCACCAACTGATCGCCAGATGTTGTTGTGATCCACCTTCTTCGAGTCTTCGTCTCAACTTTAGCCTGGGGGAACGGTAATACGCATCGAGTTAATCGCGATACCAAAAAAAAGATTTTTTTTAGTAATTCTATCCACCGGCGCGTCTCTTCATTCGACTGCGAAGGACTGTCTTCTCGACTGTACGTCATTTCGATACCGACGTTTCTATTCCACCACTGCTACTAGTATTATCGCTACTGCTACTGCTCCTACTCGTCGACCATCACTTAGGGACATATGTTTAGCGACGATGACAACTATAAGCGTGTGAAAATTGCTGCCGAGAAATCTTCTCGACCTTCGACTCTTTGAGAACGAACTCGCAAAAAGCGAAATGATCACCTACTATACACCACCCCATCACCACCCACCAACCAACCACTACTACTACATTTCACAGTTGTCTGGTACTTCACCGATTTTCAAAGATTTTTTATCTCTATTTCTATTTTCTCTGTTTTTGTTTGTTTTTTCTTTTTCACAATTATATGCATTTATATTATTCTTTTAGATTTATTGTTATTTCAGCAAGGAATTCTGCTTGATTTGATAAAGAATTAATGTTGCATTGAGACTGGATAAATGAAGCCTTTGAATTCTTAATAGATTTCTTTTATATAAATTCTTTCATATAAATATATAATTGAATCTTAGAATCGGAGAATTTTTAATCAACATATTTACTATAGAGCGATACATATTTATCTTGTCTTTGAGATATAGCATTTATTTGACGAAAGATTAACTTGATCACTAAAAGTAATCATCTACTTTCTTTGATTTCACATTCAATTTAATTGAGTATTTTATATATTTATTATTACTCTACCTATATAATTTCTATATATCACTGTTAATATATATATATATATTAACATATATATATATATAGGCAATCTAGAAATTAGATAATCTTAATTCTTTTACAGTTGTCTTGCGATAATTTTGTTTATATTTGTGTTTTATCACGCCACTTCGCCCCATTTTTCGCACAAAGAATACATTATAATTTGACAAATGTCAATTGCTTTATAATTAGCGTTAAATGCATAAGCTTTTGATATTAATATATTTCTATGATATATAAGTACTTAATATTTTTATAGTAGTGATGTAATAAATGTAATGGGGCGGAGAAGCGGGTTTTAATATAAATCTCATCTGTTTCTCTTTTCAAGATACCTAAATTATCTAATTTTTTTAGGTCGAGATCTCGCAGCCCTCGCAGGAGATCATTGACTCGCAGTCGCAGCCGAGATCGTCGTTCACGTTCGGATTCCCGCGACAGACGGTATATTAATTATATTCATCCCACTAATAAAGAAATAGAGGAAAAATGATCCTGAAAAATAAAAGGGAAAAACGAAGAAAAAAATACAGTATCAGTAAACAGAAAAGCAATGCTCAAATGTATTTTCTGAGGGGACCAAAACTTTGAAATTGACATGATAGGCTAAATAAAAAAATATTTTGTCATTTTGCGACATGGCAAGAATTCTGTATTTTTCTAATAAAAATTTATTTATTGTGAAACCAGCGATGTCCTCTCTTGCGATAAGAGCGAAAAGAGAAAAAAAGGGAAACAAATCTTTTTTCTAAGCTTTGTATTCTCTAATTACAGTTAGATGCTAAAACGGGGCAAAGAAAGGAATCGACCGATTTTACGTGCTGAACAGAAGATAAGAGAGCAACAAGAGATAGAGTGAGAGGCAATTTTGTATATACATACAATTTGTTAATTTTCCATATATACACAGACACATATGCTCACGTTCGAGACTATAAATGACGATGATAAAAAAAATGTGAATTATGCAAGTTTAGAATATGAAAAAATGGTAGTAATTTAATTAACCAATTTTTTGCAACCAAACAACCAAACGTTGATTAAATTACTACCATTTTTTAATTATCATCTGGTAACTTCACAGTTTTTTCACATCTTTTAGAATATGAATTGTATTCTTTTAAGTTGTACTATCATATATACTATACGTAGCTTATAAATACACAAATGAATTATACTAATACACATCTTTTGTGGCACATCTACTCTTATATATCTATGCACGTTACAAACAATTACGTACATCTGATTGATTGTGTTATTTGAGTGAATAATTAAATGCGCCGAAGTACGTCGATAAATTTATGAAATAAAATGTGATCACTACTTTTGTAAAAATCGTGATTATTTTTGGGGTCGATTATAATGATGAAAAAAGAGAGAACAAATTTATTTTTCACGTATTAATAATTTTGTATTTATTTTATTTTTGAATTATTTAAGGTATGACACAAATGCAAAAATTGTAATGCATTTGTAGTAGCTTTTTGTATATTATGAACATCATTTTTATTTAACTTTATTAGCAATTAAATATAATATACATAATTAGTATACCAATGAATAATTGATGCTTCTATATGTTTTATATATATATACATTTTTTCTTGTGTAACAGATTCAAGAAATTATGCAAATTTATTTTCCTAATATATAACAAAATTCTGTACAATGAAAAATTCAATTATTTTGTATTCTCTCTGCAATATTTTTAAAATACTTTAAACTTTAGAGGAAGGACATATATATATATTTCTTTTTGCAATTATATAAATTATATAAGTATTTTGAAAATACTGCAGAATATAAAATAGATGAATTTTTTATTGTTCGGAATTGTCATATTAGAAAATTGAATTTTATATATAACTTTATATATAAAGTTGTCAAAGATATAATATCTTTTTCTTTTAGATACATTACAGAATGATCAAGTAAAAGTTTAATATATATATATATATATATATATATAAAAGCAATAAGAAATCATGATTTAAATTTATTTTGTCATAATTAGTTTAAAAAAATTAAGTAAGAATAATTTGTTATCAAATAGTGTTCGCATCAAATTTTTGAGGTGTGTTCGAAGATCTCGGCAGGATCGCATTTTGATAAATCTCGCTTTCAATTACAGTTTCTAGTCTATTTATTTTTATTCGTCTATGGCCGTCGAGTGAGAGAGGACGATTAAGGTGGGGGTTAGATAGGTTGGATGTCTCGCTTGACACGCCATTTTGTTTTGTGTGGTTTTGTGGCGTTTTGTGGCATTCTACGCACTAGTTTGGTCCGAGAGGTAGACACCTCAATAATTTGCGCTGATTTGATAAACAGCGACTCTTACGAAGGTATTTATCAGATTACCATTCTCGAAGATACTTTTAGGTTATATTCGTCCGTTTGACGTTCAGGGAAAAGTTGCCGGTGCAAAGAAAAGAGAGCCTCAAGTTCTCGAGGCGTCGTTCGGCAAGGTACGCCATTTTCGACTGATCAATCAAAATATTGGAAAAAAGTTACCGTTCAGAAAGAAGAATTTATTTATTTATTTTTTTTTAATACTTTAATAATGTTGAAATTAAAACGTCACATGTATATTCGTGAAAGAATAATTTTTCAAAGAAGGTTTAGAGCGGATAAAATGAAGATTCGACAACGTAAGCGACATGACGTTATAATTCCCAATCTCAATAATAATTAATGAATTTTAGGGCGATTGCGCGGCTTTCGATTGATTGAACGAAATAGTAGAATTCTTCTTATCTTCAGAATTTTTCTATGACATCGCGCTTGTTGATCTGTGCAATAGAACGGAGTATTCGTTATTTATTAACGAAATACTTTAATTATTCTGATTGCATTTTAATGAGCTTGGGCGTGTTGGAGAATAAAGTTGGGAATTACATAAATGCATATATTAGTATGGAATGACTTGTCTTATTTTAATTACATATTAATGAAAATATTCGTATCACATTATGAATCATTATTTTTTTGGTATTCCTATACTTAAAGATAAATTATTACTTTGTTTTATTTATAATAATATAATAAATAAAAACCTTGTTGTTAAATATTTTCAAGCAAATTGAAAGTTTTCAGTTCTTTCATTCTGCATATAATGTTACACGTTCGTCTAATTTTACCAAAAGTTAATTATAACTCTGTGTCAAAGAAAATTAATATATAATCTTATATTGTATTTGTATATATTGTACATACATATTATATATTATGTTATGAGTTTTTAGATTATGTTGTACTTGATAATAAATTTGCAGGTAGAAAATGTCGCGCTATCGTGAATGGGATCTGTCCTGTAAGGTATATGTTGGTAATCTGGGCAGTAGTGCAAGCAAACACGAAATAGAGGGTAAGTTCAGTAAGTATGGTCCACTGAGAAATGTATGGGTAGCCAGAAATCCACCTGGTTTTGCATTTGTGGAATTTGAGGATCCACGAGATGCTGAAGATGCAGTGAGAGGACTCGATGGAATGTAAGTTTAAATAATTAGTAATTTTTAAAATAATAAATCAATTTTTTAATAATTATATATAAATCATGAACTGTAATAAAATATACTAGTACTAAGACAAGCAAGATTATAAACAGTAGGATAAATTGTGTAATTATTTATTGTTCAAAAAGTTTAGATGAATGAAAATATTAAGTATATTAAATATATTGATGAATGAAAATATTAAGTATATTAAATATATATATTTTTTCAGACACTTGTGTGGCACCAGAGTGCGAGTAGAAATGTCATCTGGGAGAAGTCGACGAGGCGGTGGTGGTCGCAGACCCGGTCCTAGATATTCCAGGTAAGAAAACTTGCGCTGTTTTGTAGCATCCGCGAGTTTTACAGCGAGAAAAGTGTTAAAGCTGCGACAGAAACTGACTAGGTGCCCTTGACAACATAAGTATTCATGATGGAGATGAACATCTCTTTCTTATCTTAATAGGACCGCGCTTTTATCAAGGAAAACGTTTCAAAGCACGGGTTCTTTTTTTCCAAAGAATATTTTTATGCACATTATCACTACCATGATATTCGATATTTTTCCTTTCTTATGTCTCTGTGTATAGGAATGCCGATAAACATATTTAGTATTATATATTTATACATCGTGTTTGTTTTTTCTTCCTCTTTTTCTGTTTTGAATGTCATGTCTGGTTAATCTTCCTCCTCGTTTATGATCGTGAGTTCGCAGTTCAAAATAGTCAATAATTCCCATTCAAATATGCATTGCATTATGTAGAAATATATCAGGATTAGACTGTTAAGTATGCATGAGTATGGTTGAAGGTCAACACTGGGAATTAATCAGAGCATGGCTAAATGTACACTGCATGTTTGTGTGGACAGAGAGATATTGGGAACTAGGATTTATTGTTCCAGTGTACTAAGTATACAAGATATTGAGAGCCTAAATCAAATTTCTAATTATTTCATTTTTAAGAATTCATTAAATATATTAAACACAAATAATATTAATTTCATTTACAATTATAATATTAAATATCAGCAAGTACTCTTTTATTTCTGCAAAATGATTTTGTTTCCATAAAAAATCAAAATGTCAAAGTTTAAATAACTTAATACACTCATTGGAACAAAGTTCTTGCTTTAAATCTGTTTTTAGAATCACAATAGAAAAATATATGGTGATATATTTTTACTTCCTTTTATGAATTTAACTAAATAATCTAAATATTAGGTATCTAAATTTCTAGTTGAAAATTTATCTTGCAATTACTTATAAATTACAATAATTTTTTTTATTAATGTATTTGTAAATTAATTATACGTATATATTATACATAAAAGCGAATATTTTTTATCACAGTACGCTAATCAATTTTTTACAAGATATACAATCTTTTATCTTAGCATGATGAAAGTCGAGATAATGATTTCTATTTTTGATTATCATTTAGCTTTTTTATGTTTTTCTATCACTTCCATTTTTTTTCTCTTTCTCAATGTCTTAGGTGTATGCTTTAGCAACGAATTGGATTTACTTTTTTTTTTTTTTACAAATTTTTAAGTCCAGGTCATGCAGCCTCTATAGGAAATCCCTAGATTGTTATTCGAGGTAATAATCTAGGTTTTATCTTTTTTAACCCGAGGTTTTTATCTCTTTTTTGTACTTGCTGTTAATCAGTTTTCAGGTACTATTAAAAAAAAATTTTTTTTTAATTCAATACGTGAGACCATCATCAGCAAAACACTTGGTAAACACGCATATATCTTTTTAATCTTTTATAGATTTTGGTCTAGAAGCCCGCAGAGATCGTCGAGTAATCGCTACTCCAGGTAATTGATTCTTCTTGCTATTTAACTATTTTTTGTATCTCACTTCATGCAAGTTTTCAGAATCTACATGATGGATCTGGCAAAAGAAATCGGATAATAATCTGTAAGTATACACATTTCGCGAGTTTATATTTGTCGTAGCTTACGCATGTATGTACAATATTCTACGCTGTTATCTCTATCATTAAATATATATGTAGTTACTATAATTAGTAAAAATATTTAGAGGCATAATTTGGAGTACGATGTTGAAACGAATTAATAAATGAATTAAATTATTGATCATGAAAAAAATAGCGTTTATATTTCATATATACAACTTAATAAAATTTCTGAAAATTGGTTCCGCTAAATAATTAATTTCATCATCGTTCTCTCTTTTAATTCAAAATAATTGAAAGAATCATTTGTTGGATGAGGGAGGTAGTTGATCGTAGACACTCGAAGATAAAAAATAAGTAGTTTGATCAATAATCGAGTTGATCAAACTATGTTGAATAGATAAAATAGGACTGTGAACAAATTATGCGATAGTAAATGAAAACGAGGAGGATAATAATAATGTAATAGACATAGCATAGGGAGAGTCGAGATCGAGAGAATTCTAGAACGCATGATGTCAACGCGCGTGATATCTTCGAGAGAAATAGAGATACACTTTGCACTTGCAGAGTTCTGCATTTCGTAAATTTGCCGTATCATCATTATTGATTATAAATGTTAAATGCTTCAAAAGGAAGGATCTTTTCGATATCTCAAGTCTAAAGTGACAGTTTTATAAAATTGCATTTGCTTTTAATTACTTTCAATGATACATAATGAAAGATACCATGATAAAGGAATTAAGATTGTGGAAAGATTAAAAATTATTACCTAGTAATAATAACCAATTAATTAATATTTTCTTAATAATACTAATGCAAAATAATACGTCTCATATATCAATTCTTGAATTAATTTCTGAATGATTGCTTGGTATCTGATATTTTTCATTAATTAATAATATTTCTTTGCAATTATAAGAAGATAATATATATATATCGATTTTTTTTAATTGCTTTGATTTTATTGGACAGTAATTATTTTAAAATTTTATATTTTTGCAATTGTTAACTGTTCTTAAGATTTCTGATACCGAGAGATGTTAGTCGAATAAGACAAACACTTTGTGTCTGTCACTTCTCGTCGTGCACGTACCGTAGTATAAATAGAGTAGGGAATTATAATTTAAGTATAATGATTGATCTTAGATTTTTAGAAGAATTTTCAAATTCAAATTTTCATTAATTGTTTATTTTGTCAAAATTGCAGTTATACTTGATAAATCAGCATATGCTCGGTGCGTCGCGGCGAGAACTTATATACCGGAGCGATATAGATCCATCACATATAGATCCGAGTCGATGAGCACGAAGCACAGAGAAGTCCTCTCTTCTTTTTTTTTTTTTTTCGTATGCATTCGAGTGGGCAGTCTAGGACAAAGGAGAATACAAAACTTAATCAGTGATAACGGCGAAAGGCGAGCATGTTTATGCAATTTCATTTTCGATTCGTAAAGCTCTTTTCTTAAAGTGATAAAAGTAAAAAAAAAAAAAAAAAGAGGAAAATACCCGATATAGTGGCCAGGAGTATGATAACGTTGATTATTATATTGCTAAAACTGACGTTTGCAGATTCTACCAGCGTCAGCTCCTAGCTCTGCTCGTCTCCCCGCCACTACTACTACTGCTACTTCTTCTACTACCACTACTACAGCCACCGTGAAAAAGCGTATTCGTACGCGAAAAAAGCAAAATTGTCAATCTCGCAATCGTCGCCAATCGAACAAAACTGAACAAAAAAAATATATATATGCCTGCCTGCCCACTAACTTCCCAATCAACCAAGTCACCATCAGTCACCACCAAGTCACCGAGTATATAGGATGCCGTCCGTACGTCTGTCACGTCACGTCACGTCGCCCGTCGAAGTTGTGCGTTGTGGTGTTGCAACAACGCGCACACAGCACACAATGATGCAACAATTGAAACAACGTTCGCGTGCTGCCGGAGTACCGTCAGTGCCGAGAATATGCCATCTTTAAAAAAGAAAAAAAACACCTCTTTTGTTGCTGTCCCCCCGTTCGCCGTCGTTGCACTGCAAAAACAAACCGTCCGTCGCTCTACTACGAGATTCTCCCCTTCGATAACCACCACAACTACTAGTACTACTACTACTACTATTACTACTATTTACTACTACTACTCTTCCACCACTACCACCATCACCACTACCAACCACCAATCGACCGATCACCGGCTGTTGTTGTGATCTACCTTCTTCGACTTCGTCTCAGCTTTAGCCCGGGGGGGCAGTGGTACGCACCGAGTTAATCGCCACAAAAAAAATCCGCCACCGTGAGAAAAACTCCACTCATCGGCCGCCACCATCTTGAACGAATTAATCACGCGATGCAAAAAAAAAAAAAAGATTTTCTACACAGTAATTCTATCCACCGGCGCGTCTCTCCATTCGACTACGGACGACTGTCTTCTCGACTGTACGTCGTTTCGATATCGACGTTTCTATTTCACCATTGCTACTACTAGTATTACTGCTACTGCTACTACCACTACTGCTACTGCTCCTACTCGTCGACCATCACTTAGGGACATGTGTTTAGCCACGACGACAACTGAACGCGCGAGAGTTGGCTGCCGAGAGATCTTCTCGAGAGCGAACGCAAAAACGAACTGATCACCACCTACTACACACCATCCCACCACCACCCACCAACCAACTACCACCAACCACTACATGTTCACAGTTGCCTGGTATTTCACCGATTTTCAAAGATTTTTTATCTCTATCTCTCTATTTCTATCTTTTATTTTTGTCAATTTTTTTTTTCTTATTTTCTCAATTATATGTATAGCTATTATTTTGGATTTATTATTATTGTTTCGGTGAGGAATTCTGGCTGCTTCAATGAGGAATTAATTAGGCTTTTATTGAGGTTGAATAAATCAACTTTTCGAATTATTCTTAATCGAATTTTTTATAAATGAATTAATCAATGTTTAATTGAATCAGAGAACTCCAAGCCGACACTCATATATAATATAAATCCAAAGCGATCTGTATCTGTTACATCTCTTTTATACATATATGTACACATATATAGTAAGAGATGTCACATTTACTGATAAATATTTAATATTCTGATTATTAAAGTTAATCCTCTACTTTCTTTGATTAATTTCATATTCGGTTGGTGAGCCATCATTTTGTATTAATTCATTATTAATCCTGTCTAACTATATAATTTTTATTGTCACCCTTTATATATATAATATATCTATATATATAGGCAAAATAGAAATTAGATAATCCTAATTCTCTTGCAGTTGCCTTGCGATGATTTTTCGTACGTGTTCTATTACGCCGCTCTGCTCCATTTCGAAAAGAAATCAACATTAATTTTTTAGAAATTTCAATTTTAAGTATAGCGATAAATGAGCAATCATTCCTCAATTACATTTTATACACGAATAATATCAAATAATAACTAAATTAATTTACATTAATTATTTTTACATTTAAAATAAAAGTAATCAGTAATTGAATAAATTCTTCTTTAAAGAAAAATCAGTAATATGAAAACATTTTTTATTATATATAAATAGTTACTATTAATATAATTATTGTAACAATTTATAAATACTACACTTTATCATAGAAAAATTAGTTTAACAATCAATTTATATTTTCAATGATTGTGCTACGTATTTTCAATAATATTAATATATTACTTGTTTATGTAGCGATTATTACATGTCGATTTGCTATAGCTCGCAATGGGGCGGAGAAGCGTGTTCTAATAATCACTTGCAATCTTAAAATGAAAATGATATCTAAACTGTTTTTAATCTTTTAGATCGAGGTCTCGCAGTCCACGCAGGAGATCTTTAACCCGGAGCCGCAGCCGTGATCGCCGTTCACGTTCGGACTCCCGCGACAGACGGTATTAATATATTAATCCCGCTAATTTAAAAAAAAGAAAGAAATTATTTTTCCAATAAACTGAGAAAACCAAAAAAAAAATTAATGCAACAGTAAAGCAAAATTACAATGCTCAAATACATCTTCAAGGGAATGAGGGCTTTTGTGGAATTGACGCGATTGGATAGAGGGATAAAAAAATCCTGTCATTGTGCGACACAGCGACAGTTCTACATTCATGTGATCAAAATTCATCGCGAAGACAGCAACATCTTTTTTGGCGATAGAAACGAAAAAAGAAAGATACGAGAAAGCAGTTAACTATAAGTTTTTTTTCTAAGCTTTGTATTTTTTATCTAATTACAGTTAAATGCTATAAGTTCGAGAGAGAGAGAAAAAGAAAGAGAAAGAAAAATGGATCGCCCGGATGGAACACAGAAATAAAGATAAGGTTGAGCTGGCTAACAGTGTCATATAAAATTAATTGTTAACTACATATAATATATATACATATATATAATATATATACACGTACGCGCACGCGTGCTTGCGTTCGGAATTGCTATTGATTATGACAAAAATGTGACAAAAAAGCAAAACAAGACACTGGATGAACTTTGTGAGTTATGCGAGTTTAGTGTATAAGCTGTATTCTTCTCATAAACACTACTATGTATATGTAGCGTATAAACACATAATATACACATAGCCGAATTATACTGCTGCACATCTACACATACATATATACATTTACGTACATTATATCACGAACAAGTGCGTACGTTAGATTAATGGTGTCAAAATATGCTATCTATAAAATAAATTCGATCATAACTTTAGTGATGTCCATTATTATGGGTAATAATAATTATCGATTATGTGATAAAAATACGAAGGAAAATTTAGTTTTGCTTTGATGTAATCATTTTGTATTTTGTTTTGTGAATTTATGATACGACAAATAAATATTATAGATAATAATGCAAATACAAAATTGCAATAATTTTTCTCTTTACATATTGCAAATGCATATCTTTTTCTTTACATAATGTAATGTAATGGATATAATATAATCAGCACTGAACACATTTAAAAAAATATATATTCATATATATTTAAATATATGTGTGTGTGTGTGTGTGTATATATATATATATATATATATATATATATATATATATATATATATATATATATATATATATATTAATTTATCAATGAACAGTACGATTTAAATATTTCATATATTTTTCCTTTCATATTAAACAGTTTCAAAATTGTACTAATCTTTTATAGGCCAAGATTCTGTACGACGAAAAAATGAGTCATCTTATACTCTAACGAGATTTTTAAAGAAAAAGTATATATTAAAATAATAGGATATTTAGTTATATAGTTTTATAATAAAAATTTGAATTTAAAAAATATATAGATAACATATATATATAGATTCTTTAGGAGTCCATAATGATCAAATGCGAGCTGTGTTGCCTAAAGCGAGGACGCATAATCTGACTCCCTGTTGGCAGATGTGATAATCTCTGATAGGCAACGCCAGAGTCTCATCTAGTAGCTTCAAGATCTCAAGGTAAGCATTTAATGCTAACTCGTTTTGCCTTCTTCAAGATTAGTCGATGCGACTTTGAAAAGTGCATCTGTGTCTTGGAGAGCTTTCAAACCCTTCAATATGTTGATGCTCTTGCCACATTTTGCGCATCCAATCATAAACTCGTTCGTGTCACTTCTAACCAGCAATACATTGCCGCAAGACGGTCCGGTTTCGCATTTAAATCTGAAGAAAAAATTATACATTATAATATGATGTCAATATTATTTTGGGATGGGATGACTTGATAATTTAATATATTAAATATTTTTACAATTAATACATTATAAATTAACACATGATATTTTCATTATAATTTGATTAATAAGAATTATTATAATCACGATGAAATTATTTATTTATTTAATTTTACTTAGCTTAATTAGCATCTGATTGTGTTGATAAATACCTGAGTACTGTAGGATCTAATTCTTCCAGAAGCGGCCAATGTCCCGAGCACGCTTCGCAATTGCAATCGAACCAATATTGTAATCTCAGTCTTCGTTTTCGTTCGTTCTCGGGCGTAGTTGTAAAGATTGGACCATAATTTTCCGAAATTTCTTCACCTGCTCTGATTGTACGAGCGGCACGAACAACCATAGTTGTACCGATAAAGTACCTAATAATCAATTTTTCACATCAAATTTCAATTATTTATTTTATTACAAATTAGTAATAAAATAATTTTTAAATGAAGAATTAATATATATTCTCAATAATAAAAAATCAATCCAAGTTAATATTTAATAAAATTGAAAAGAGTTACACATTGATTCAATTATATAAATTATATATATTCATATTTAGAAAAATAATTCAGCTTTTAACAATATTTTAATGATATATGTAAAACGCATGACATTAATTATTCATTAATTAAATTATTTACCGTATAACGCCAGGATTGCACGAATGATTTAACATTGCTACTGTAGGATAAACACCACCACCTATGAATATACTTTTGGCCCTAGCGAGTGTCTTCTCCCCTTTCGGTCTTACAAGTTCTGAAATCTAGAAAACAAACGATACAGTCTATTATGCAAAATTAATATATGAAAAATGTTTTAATTTAAATAAAAATAATTCTTTACGATAACAATTACCCGAACTCCTAATCGCACTTACTCGCGATAAATTATAACATATGTGAAGCTTTATTACCTCATGCGAGTTGAATTGTAACAACTGCAAATTATGTAACAATAGCTCCGCGATGAACAATTCTTCTTCGGACAATCTGCTATTCGCTGTATCGGCAGTTTTCACATTTTCTGGTAAGTACTCGCTGGTTTTTAGCAGTCTAAACAGCCAAGCAGCCATATAAGCTCTATGAAAAATGTCTTCTGGCAATCTTTTGTCTTCATGGGTCACTATCCAAAATACAAAAAAGTTTCAGTGCAAAAATAAAGAGATTATCTATATCGAAAAAACTTGTCATTAACAAATAATTTAATTTTATACGATAATTCGAAATGAAAAATTTAGCAACATTTTTACGTAAATAATTGCACGTAACGCAATTATTTATGTATTGTAAAATGTCATAAGAGTGCTCATTTAATTAAAGTTTTTTTTTTAATTAATTACTATTATTTTATAATTTTTGTTTAAATTACTATATATATTTTTATACTTCTAGTCTATTAATCAACCTAAATTATAGACAGTCATGTAATCATTTCCTCGATACGGGTTCTTCGCGGAGATGTTCAACGCTCTTCCGGAATCCACGAATCGGTCCTTCAGCTTCATAATTTCCTCGAATGATTTCTGCGTGATCGCCCTTAGAGCTAGAAAACACGTCACCGAAGCCTTCGAGTGCCACAAGCTCGGTAGCAGCTTGCATTCCCGCAGATGCACTTTGGCATCCGCATCTCTGCAACGACGACTGCAGTACGCGACGCAGCTGCAAGTGTAACAAGCTGCTGGAATCGGCACGATTATCCTCGCGAAGCACAAGTGGCAATGTGTAAACCTGTAAGTCGAATATCATTCATTTTAATACTGTTTAATTTCGTACACTTAAAATCTATATATTTTAATCTATGAGAAAATTAAATAAATAATAAAAAAGTGCAATCATAATTAGAAAAAAAAAAAGATTTTTATGATAAATTCTCATACAAAATTCCTCTTAAGAAGTTTGTGAATCCTTGTGAGGTTTCTATAGCACCCTTAATTGTTGATGATTAAATTATGTAAAAATATAACAAAATATATAGAAAAGTATTAACAATAAATGGAGAAAAAATATAGAACTAGATTACAGAAAATATTTGGACCCACTTATTCTCCACCAGCGCAGAAATGATAAATTCTCATACAAAATTCCTCTTAAGAAGTTTGTGAATCCTTGTGAAGTTTCTATAGCACCCTTAATTGTTGATGATTAAATTATATAAAAATATAACAAAATATATAGAAAAGTATTAACAATAAATGGAGAAAAAATATAGAACTAGATTACAGAAAATATTTGGACCCACTTGTTCTCCACCAGCGCAGAAATGATAAATTCTCATACAAAATTCCTCTTAAGAAGTTTGTGAATCCTTGTGAAGTTTCTATAGCACCCTTAATTGTTGATGATTAAATTATATAAAAATATAACAAAATATATAGAAAAGTATTAACAATAAATGGAGAAAAAATATAGAACTAGATTACAGAAAATATTTGGACCCACTTGTTCTCCGCCAGCAGAAACGCGCAATGCGGTCGTTCCGCGATTAAGATTTCCCCGGGTGCTATTTCTCTGGTCGCCACAGCGTGTCTACCCGCGTCATCTCCGTTGTTCTTGATCTCCACCGCGCTACTGCAAGCGGGATACCGAGGGTTCCTTTGCTTCTCGGAAATAAACTTGCCGCGATTCTCTTCGGAACGCCGACTGCACGGACTTTGCTTGCTATTAACTCGCGGGAGATTCTTCTGGGCGGTTTCGTTGAGCCGTTTACTCTTGTCAATCACCGCGAGCATCATCCTGATGTCCATCTCGAACTTCTGCTTGCGCTCCAACGGTATCCTGGCATCGTCCAGGGTTTGGAGAGCCCGTCTGAACGCCTCGATCGCCTCGTCATGCCTCTTCAAGGCCAACAAACATCTGGCCCGTCGTTCCTCGAGTTTGTAAAAGAGTTCCTTTGGATAACCGAGTCGTGAAGCTTCTTCCATGTCCTCCAACGCGTGCTCGTGTTGGTCCAAGTGATACAACGTAGCCGAGCGATTCGCCAGGATGACGCTTAATTCTAAACATTTACACCTGTTCAATCGAGATAATTACTAAGCGTAATTATTAATGATATATAGCATATCGAACAATCGCAATATCTGAGAATTTTAAAATAAATTATAAGATTATGAAGAAATAATGAAAAAATTTAACAAACATTATTTTATCTCACATGTATAATTGAATTAAATAATATATCAATATTATGATATACGTCATATATTTACCTGTTGACGGTGCTAAAAGAACCGCACTCGAATAAATCTCCAAGGCCATTGAAAATTCGCCCCGACCGAAATGCTTGTTTCCAGTCTCCTTCAATTGAATAGCACCATTACTATCCTTAAGCATAGGCTTCTCCACAGCCAAGGATAATTGGTGAGCCTCGGGATAGCTCAGGACGAAAGCCACCCTCTCGGCATTCGAGTCGAGAGCGACGAATTTCTTGAAGTCCTGTTGGCGAATCGCCTTTTGCACAGCCAGCAAATTCGAGCGGAAAAATCCGCCGATTTCCGGTTCCAATTCTCTTTCCGACATTTTTTAAATATTTTTTTACGCGTGTATAGTAATTAAAAATTAATAAAGCATAATAGTAGTTAACGGTGTTTAGATGATTTTATAGTAGTATTATATCATACATTTATGTATTTTTATTTATTTTCTAAATACACAGAATATTATATAACAGTCGTTGATTGGAATTATTAAATTAAAACATATTTTAATATTAATTAGCGATTAAATTATTTTAGTAACATTACGATGTGATATACTTTTGGAATTAATTCCCGTTGTAATTCATTTTTAAGTCCACCACAAAATCATTCAGCAGATGACAAAAACTAATCGTGCAGACGATTATACTTTTGCAAAATGTGAAATTAATTAACCAATTAGAGAACACGTTTAGGTCGCACGTTCGCCGCTTGATAACTCAAAGGCACTAACTTCTGGTGGTCTGGCTTCAGGAAACTATGCACGACTATTTTGGTGTGCGCTATTTTAAGATAGTTGGTCTTAATGTGTTTGTAATACACCTCTGGTAAAGTGACAATGTAAATTTACCTATGTTCGGATCATCTGCTACTATCATTTGTTGTTACATTTACAATCCTTGTTGATTTTCAAATGTACTGGTATTATACATGTTCTAGAAATTTAAATATCGTTATTATTATCATCGTAAGAAGGGAAGATCGAGAGAGGGAATATTTAGCAAGCATAAGAACTCATAAACGCGAAAATATCGATAATAAAAGAATATATTTGTTAATGTTCTCATTTGTATCTGTGCGTTATAAGCTAATTAATTTCTAGAGTATGCTAAATTATATTATAGATCAATAAAAGCTAATAAAAATTTTATCTCTCGATACAAGCTAACTTAAGTACAATATATACAAAATTCAGAGTCAATGGAAAGCGATATACAAACTGACAAATAGAATTTACGCGATTGATAATGATCCTCAATTATGATGAGATTATAGCTGATAATTATCTTTTATTCTATGCATTCTAGAGAAGAATGCATTTAATTTCTTAAAATGAAAAGATAATTTTTTAAAGGAAAGACATCGATTTGATATCATACGCATTATTGTATAATAATTATATGTGTATCTCTCTTTTAGTCCGTAAAATATAATATGAAAAATTAATATAAAAAATCATTAATAATATAATATCAATTAAATATTAATATAATATAAAACTATTTTAATTTGTATACACAATACAGTATTATACAATAATGTCGATATGTTTTCGACTATGTTTTTCGATAAATTATTATATACCATCAGCTATAAAATTTCTAAAGATAAAAAACAACTAGACAAATACAATTTAATAGATGGTAAATGATGAGAAGATCTTCACGTATAAATAGATAAAGATTAATACATTTCGAGAAAATAAAACACATAAAAAACACATAATACGTGTGCATATGTTGAATCTACATTTACAGATTATGAAACAGTTTCGATTCAAATATCAATAGCTCCCAATTTTCTGAACTTTTCGTATCTAGCATTTCGATCCTCTCTAATCTGCAGTGGATCCAATATATATATCTTACTTACAAATATATATTCTCTGCAAAATTCTATTCTTTTACAGTTGTCATACGTTTGCAACAAAAATCATAAAAAATCATCATCTTTACTACATGTTCATCTCTTTATTTACAGCTGGGAGACTTTCGATCCGAATTTTCGCGAAATATTATTATTAGGATCCGTCTCACGGATTTAAGCAACCCTTTCAAAAGTCGTACGAACCCTCATCCTCATCCCTGTGGGCCCTCAGACCCATCCTGTACACGCCACCGGCCAAGAGGGCACCGAGCAGCGGACCCACCCAGTAGACCCATATATTCTGATACGCATCCTCCACCACAGCTGGACCCAGAGTCCTGGCGGGATTCATGCTGCTGCCAGTGATGGGTACAGCTGCCATGTGAGCCGTCGCGATCGTCAGACCGATCGCCAACGGGGCCCAGCCCTTCGTGTCGGACCTCTTGGCATCTGTCACTGCGTGCACCACCAGCACTAGGAGGAACGTGATGATGGCCTCCATCACGACACCCTGAGACACCGATACGCCGTGACCCAGCATGGTGGCACCGAGGCCGTTCGCGGGCTGCGTCCCGGGTATTATCAGCTGGATGGAAATTGACGAAGCGATTCGATTAGATGACTCGAGGAGGTTTCGCGAGGGAGAAAAGGTATTTATAATTGCTCGATCTATGTATATGATAAATTTCTTTAAAAAATGTAAATGATCTTTTATAAGTTAATTGGTTTTCCTTTCTGAGAGACTCAGATGCAAGGTGTATCTAAATAAGTGCGAAGCATTTTTGGAGATGATTCTTTGTCGAAAATTAAAGAGGAGATTTCTTATATAAACATATACTCTTATATTTCTCCCTGAAGAGTTTACACTTTTCTAAAGAGGGAGGTAGAAATTAAGTTTTTATTTTTTTCTGAAATATTTCAGACTAATTAAAAAAGTGAAACCACCAAGTTTCATTCTTTTAATTTGTCTGAAATGTATATGTTTATATGTATAAAAAAACCTATTTAATTTTCGACAAAGAAAATAATCTCCTAAAATTTTTTACACTTATTTAGATACACCCTGCATAAGAGTATATTATATTATGGGTAAAACTCTCAGGGTGGTTTTATTATATATTGTTATAAATCGATAACATTTTTTCATTAGCCATATGGCAAACAATTTTTTAATTACTACTAAATCACAGCATTATATACGCAGAATTTTCTTTTAAACTTTATCTTGAAAATCATGGTAATCATGGGACAATACGGTATTAAAAGAATTTTGTTGTTACTATGTACATAGTAAAATTAATCGAACACATTTTTTATATTTATTGTGATAAATATTAATATTTTTTATTGTGATAAATATTAACCAGAGAAACTTATAAAATTCTTCCAATACCATATTGTCTCATGATTACCAAAATTTTCAGAATAAATTTTAAAGAGAAAATACTCTGTATAAATAGAACACAGATTCGTGAAATTTGCATAATCTTTCCTATATTCAGCTACGTTGACAGCGTTAAATTGATGATGAGGAATTTAATAATTGGTTTATTCGGTCACGGTCAATTAATTAAGAATACGCAAAATGGTATCGCACGTGTTCTCTCACGAATGACCCAGCCGGAGATCGGTTATGCGACTAGTTTTTGATGTAATGGGTGTGCGTGCGATTGATGAAGAAGGAGAGGACCTTGACCTTGCGTAACAGCGATTTAATTGATACGAACAAGACGGAGCTCCGTGCCAAATCGAAATGACAGCCTATCAACGATCGATTTCACGCTTCGGCCGGACGATCATTACGATTGCACGCGTATGTAAAGGAACGTACGTAAGGCACGTTCAAATGAAAGTATCGAGTACATGACCCGCTGACCTCCCCATATACATTTTATTACTTATACAATACGATTTAGCAATAAATTCGCGATAATTTCAATTAATTTTAAAAAGATTAAATCTCTTAAAAATGACAATATAAAGAAAATTTGACTTATCCGTTTTCTTCTCTTCGACATTTAAATAATTATTACATTAATTTAAAGCGCGTGTTACATTCAGTTTTTGTCATCTTCTTTTTAATCGAAGAAGTTTTTAAAAATCAATAAAAGTTAATTTAAAATTTAGATTAATTTTCTTTGAACTTTACAAAAAATAAACTTGGCAAACTTGAAAAAAAAATAGTGAAGTATAAGCGTTGCAATGAATTTTAATTAAATCTATAGTCTTACCTTAAGAACAGCAGCTCCCGCAATAGCACCGCAACATTGACAGACCACATAACTAATTGTTTTAAGAAGACTGCAATTTCCGCTGACCATCAGACCGAGTGATACAGCTGGGTTTACGTGACAACCGGAAATCGGACCTAAAACCTAAAAATTCAAAAATTATTATCAAACATTAATAAATTTTTATACTAATTATTACAATTAATTTAGAGTACATAATAATATTTATATAAAATATTAATAACTACACGTAATTTAATTAACATAAAAATAAATATTAAATATCAATTAGAAAGCGAATAACGTAACATTTTTTCATTGTAAATTAATAATTGTTTATACTATTATGATGAATTATAAAATTACATTTACGTGTATGTAATAATATGTATTTTTAAATAATTTCCTTCTATTAATTTTTTGCTATATTTCTATTGTTTCATTCCTTATTAGACGAACGTATAGTACGATTCGAGTTTCGATCGGCGAACTTGTGACTAATAAAAGTCTGGGCCGTGAGAAAATTTCTAAAGTCTGTTTCATAATCATCATGCGGTCCCACGCCTACCGCAAAAAGAAGGAGAGAGAAAGAGAGATGAAATTTGTTTCTCGGATTTATCTCGAACGATTTCCCAACGATCAACGTCGCCGCGACAGGCGTTTTGACAATCTCGCAGCGTGTCACTGCGTGTAACGCCTGCTTGTAAATTCTTCTTACGTACCCGGCATGTAATTACGTGGAGATCGCATGAACGATTCGGAATGATCTCGCGAAACGTCCGACCTTCTCGTAGATAGACGGATAGATGACATCTGTTTATTCTCTAAGAACATCTCTAAGAATATTTATACGAAAATATCTATTTTACAAATATAAAAATAATATATGTGATGTAACAAATATTTTATTTTTAAATTGATTTAACTAATGAGGCGAAAAATAGTTGGACAATCAAATAAATAAAATATAAAAATTATTAGAGACTGAATGTCGAAGATCGTGTAAATTCATATATTGAAATATTTACTTTGTATTTATTAAAAACACACACAAGTTAATTTATCAAAAATATTTCATTTTATAAAAGAGAAAGTTTTAAATTAACAGAAAAAGCTATTTTTTAAATTATTTATAAAATATGTGATTATACAATTTAAATATAATACACTATATTTATAGATAAATAGAACGAATTAAAAAATTGATTTTACATCTAGGTCTCTCGTACACGTGTATGTTGATTTGTATTATCTATGTATAATTTATAATGTACATTATTACATACACGTGTGCATAAATACATATATACAGTATCTTCCACAAGTTTAGAAACATCTTACATTTTATAGTTAAACAATCGCATGGCAGCGATCTGTGCAAATTTTTTGTATGAATATATGGTGAGATATTTAAATGACGATGTATAAATGTCATTTAAATATCTTACGATATATTTATACAAAAAATTTGCACAAATACACACGTGTATGTAATAATGCACGTTATAAATTATAGATACAAATCAATATACACGTGTCCGAGAGACCTAGAAATGTTCATGTAAAATCAATTTTTTAATTCGTTCTATTTATCTATAGGTTTACTCACAATTTTTCCTAGTATACATAATAGTATATTATTCTTCAATTTCATTTGACAACTTGTTATTTTTTATGATTTAATATGTCGTGATTTAATATGTTTACAAACTTATGATAGCTTGACGTTTGTTAATATATATAATTTTTTAAATTGAGGCAAATGTGAACCTAGAACAGTTTATGTAGGATTCATAATAGCATTGCGTGTGAAGGTAGCAACCTTCGATTAGCAAATCGACAGCTGATGATAATCGCAATAGATAAAAGTAAATCGTTCTAATTCTACTGTGCAAATTGCTTGTAAACTTATTTTGCAAACTGCTGGTAAATATCTATAGATCCAATATAATATTGGCGCAAACATTTTACATCATAATTATATCTATCAAATTAAACACGGAGAGAATTTGCTTTTAGAATTTATCCTGAAAATCATGATATTGAAAGAATTTTGTAAGAGTTTCTCTGATTAATATTTACCATAATAAAAAATATTAATATGTACATAGTAAAATTAATCGAACATATTTTATATTTTATCGTGGTAAAAATATTAATTAGAGAATCTTATAAAATTTTTCCATGATACACATTGGTTCCATGATTACATGATTTTCAAGGTAAATTCTCAATTTACCTAAAAATATCCATGTGTATACGATGTAAGCATTATAGTTTTATTATACGTGTGTACGATAAAATAAATTAGAGTATTTAAAAAAATAGTAAATTTTATATAATTCTAAAATTACGGATATATATATATATATATATATATATATATATATATAATTAACTAAATTAAAAAAATATGTATAATAAAACATGTTATACAATCGCAGATTCTTTGTAATAAAATTTGATGCATATCGGATATGTAACGTCAATAAAATTATCCCGACACGATCGATGTAAGTATCCTCTCCTCACGTCGACGCGAGCACGCGGTATCTCGATCTCACAATCAGAATCATTGGAATGAATCCGGCACGCGAAATCCAGTTCGCGCAGACTCCGCGGCGTCGGAGGATTCGTCTAGGTTCAGAGTCCGGGGCTCTCGTTGGGCCCGACGCGGCCCAGTTCTCATGCACGCCGGCAAGGTCTCGTCTCGCCGCGGGCGATCGGCATACATATGCGTCGACCAGGATTACGTAAGTGTTCTCTCTTTCTCTTTCCTTTTGTCCCTTTATCTCTCCCCTTTCGATTCTCGTCAATTCGCGCTCGCTAATTCGCCGAACTTCGCCGATTCGCACCGTACCGATTTTTTGACCCCGAACAAGTAGTTGCCCTTCAAAACGCGCGATCGTCAAATTCGTCGAAAATTCACCGAAGACTTCGTGTAATATATAATATACCAAAAATCGAGCTTATCGCTGGAAAAAATCGGGAACGAATGTACGAAGGGAGGATCCTTGAAACATCTATATCGTAATTTTAATGAGAGAGACTCTTTAATGACGGATTTCATGATGAAAGATTTTTGGTCGAAGAAATTTTTGATTCGGGCAATTGAAGCGGGCGAGATCGACAATCGAGAGAGACAGATTCTTTTGTGTCGATCTCTCGAGAAGGGAGAGAACCGAGCGACGTGGCCTTGCGGCTTGCCAGGTGAAATGAAAAATCCCCGGACTGTTGCACGGACTTTAATTGACACGTGCTCGCGCGACGTATGTCCGTCTCGGAGAAGAGATCCATGGTGTATATATGTATATATACGTACATATAATAAAGAGCAGGCTCTAAAGGGGAAAGTTGTGCATACTTTCCGCGACTCATCGGCCTTCGCTCGCAACATTGTTCCGAGAAAAGTAATAAACGGGCCTCTGCGGACGCCCGCGCGCCAAATCTCGATAAGAGTCTCCTTTTTGGGGACTCGCGCGCGATCCTATCTCGGAGCAATCGCGATATTTTCGGGCCGAAATGGCGTATTTTTTTTTTCTTTGGGTTCGAGGGTCAGCGCAGATCCTCGCGCGTTAATTTCGAAGATTTTTTACAAATGTTTATCCTCGAATGAAGTTAAACAAAAAGTGTGACAAGCTTGTCTCTCTTTTTGGCGAGATGGACTCTCCTTCGTATGAATCTTACGCTCGATTTCATTCTTTCGAGACCGAACAGAAAATTAAAATTAAAATTAATTTCCAACATCCGTTCCGGTTTGCTGATAGATCGTACGATCTCGAATTATCCCGCCGTTTCGCGCCTTCGGGGCCTCACGACCCACAGCCCGCAGTCATAAGCCGCGTGCAAAACGCGCAGGAACGGACTCGAAGGAAACAATATATCGACTATCGAAGAGAGTATTTAATATAATAAATAATAGCCAATAAAATGAAGAAAAAAAGCTTTGAGCTAAAAATATATATCGCAATTGCATTTATCCTGTATATAGTCAATTAATTAAATCAATTACATCAATTATATTTTATATAACAATCATTTAATTAAAAAATATAAATTATTTTAAAAATTATATATCTAACTTTGCGAAAAAAATACATTCTTTCGAAATTAATAAAATTTCTCACGAACGGAATAAATCCGAACCTGAAGATGCACGTTTACTGCACACGTGCCGCGCTCCTTTTTCGTGCGAACGAACGTGCACGTGTCATACGCGTTGCTGAAACTTCATCTCGAATTAGCGGCAACAGGTGCAAGAATCACACGAGCGCAACAAGTTGTTCTAGAATTCGCCCGATAGGTAAAGTTGATCGCCTTGAATCATTTTTCTATCTTTTCAGATGGATCATCTTAGTTGTTATCCATATTACTGAGTAAACTGAAGGCTACCAAAGATTTCTTCTCTTGTTTCGGCAGTAAAACCACGAACTTACGAAATTACACGAGTGTAATATGAGAAAAGTGTCCGATTCTACAAAAGTTGCCGAGCTTTTCTTCTTTAATATTTTATTTACTATATTTTTAAGAAAACTTGACAGCAGTAAAATCGTGACATAATACAGCAATATTAACTAATAATAATAAATTAGTAATTATATAATATTTTACATATATGTCTCTACAAATGTATAATATATACATGATTACACAGAGAGAATTTTCTCTTAGAATTTACTCCGAAAATCATCCGTTGACAATATGGTATTGAAAGAACTTTATAAGAGTTTCTCCAATTAATATTTTTTTTTTAGTAAATATCAGAGAAACTCTTATAAAATTATTCTAATACCATATTGTCTCACGATTACCATGACTTTGAGGGTAAATTCTAAGAAAAAATTCTCCTCCCGTGTAAGAATAAATGATTATAGAGAATAATAATTATCGGTCAATTTTTGGGTAAATTTTACGTGTGTATACAATTTATTTCAAAATACAATCATTTTAATTAGCTGTGTTATATATAAAAAATTTAATTTTCTAGCTAAATATTAAAAAAATAATTAAAATGTTAGAAAGAGGCAATTAAGATATATTCGAAGCGATTGATGTATTGTAAATGAAATGTCGAAATAATCATTTAACTCGGATCAAAATCGTGACAAGCGATTTATGGGAATACCTGAAGCAATAATGATAAT